GTTGAGTGTCAATCGATAATCGCCACAAATTCTAACAGTTTTACCATCAAACTTTAATGGCGTAACAATTGGCGTAGCCCATTTGGAAGACTCGACAGGTGTCAGAATACCTTTTTGGCACAATGAATCTAGAGCTAGACGCACTGGTTCACGCAAACCAAAAGGTACTATACGTCGTTTGAGGAAAATCGGATCACCAGAAACCTCGAGTTTCACTTTTGGTATGCGCATTCCTCCGGTGACTTTGGAGCAGCTCGTGATCAGTTGTTTCAATTCGGTTTCGTTGAAATTTGAAGTAAGTAGTGAAATGTTAACGTTAAGCGCACGTAAAACTTTGAGACCAATTATTGAAGGACCAGAATTCGATACAAGAAGATTACAATCAACAAAGTTACCACTGGAAACTTTGACTGGTATAGTACATGAACCAAGAAGCGGTAAAGCATGCCCAGTGATACCTCTAACATATAATTGTGTCGGTTTTAAAACAGAAGTAGGATAAATTGCTACAAGATCTGACTCAGGAATAATGGATTCGACGCTGTCAGTATCAATGATAAAACTATGCTTTTTACCAGAGCCTGATATGAGCGTCTTCGACACATGCATAGAATTCAATAACACAGATAAAGACATGGATGAGATGTTATCAGTCAAAGGTTGATATCAGAATTTGAGTCGACAGTCAGTCTACAAACTCTTTTGGACTTACATACATCCTGAATATGCCCAATCTTACCACATGAAAAACATTTTGATTGGCGATGTATGCAAGTATATCTGGAGTGGTCCTGTCCACACGAAGCACATTTGCCAAGAAACTTTTTGGTTGGCGTATTTGACGATTTTGAATGTTCGAATTCAGTTGGTTGTTTTTGTTATGATAACGCATACTGGTTTCAAATTTACCGTGTGGGCGACCTTCCAGCCCTTTCAACTTTGATGCATTAAATAAAACGGTCTCGTTGCATTTAGTTACTTCTTTAACATCCTGGTATTGCTCCCAAATTTTTCTGATTGATATGAAGGGTTGATCTTTCTGTACTAGGAGCTTCTGCTGTAGATCTGGAAGAATAATTCCGGCAATGAGGCGATCCCTCAGTTGGCTTTCAAGTTGTTGGCCGTAGTCACATTTTGCAGCCTGTGTTTGCAGCTGGAGGACAAACTCACGAATACTCTAGGATTCGGATCGAATAAACGATTTGAATTTCGCTCGTTCTGCGGCCACAAAATTGATAGGCTTAAAATGACTGAGAATTAACTTCTTTGGAACATCGAATGTGCAATCGATCGGCGCCGTAGGGAATGACAAATTCTTCACAAGAGCATAAGCATCCTTCCCAATGTAGTGCAGGGAATAAGCTGTCATCTTTTTATCATCCAGATCCGATTTGGTAAGACGCCAAATGCTGAAGCGTTCCAAATAATCCTCCACCTCTCGTGCAGTTGAATTTACACTGAGCGATTCCAATTCAGATAACATTGTCATGAAGAGAGAAAAAATTCTGGATCGCGACGCCAAATGTGATAATTAGAATAGTGGTAGGTATCTTAACTACCGAATGTACGCGTAGTATAGAAGTCCGAATATGGACGAATGAATATCATATATTCTCGAATATCGCGGGCGTATCTTCAATCGCATCGTAAAACAAAGACATATAAAAATACACTAAACAGAATGAATAGAATAGAGTCAATGTTCAACACACCCCTATTCGGTGTAACGATGAAAGAGGAGCTGATGCATCGTGTAATACTGGTGACGGTGTGAACCTTCGCGGACGATCTCACTTCTCAGACATACACGACCAGACAGTGCAGCGTTGTGAAATCCCTGGCTGTTAGTTACCAACTCAACAACATCTGTCTCAATAAAAATACTCTCTCTCCTTAGTCAGAATACGTCATCATGCCCAAATACATTGGCGAAAAATAAGGCCAAACAATGCCGGCAATCATGATGATAATATGCGCTGCTGTCTAACTTGGCTACTTATCGTAACCGTTAGGTTGGCGCCTAGATGCTGATTAGAAGCGTCGCTATGCACGGTAACCCAATCCAGTCGCCGACGCGGTCCTGCAAGCGCTGTTGCCCACCTTTGCTTCTCATAGTAAGCACGAGGCCAATTGCTATGCAGACCGACTGACGGTTGTACGTGAAAGCCTAATCAAACAGCTAACGACGGTCCTTCCTTCTTCACAATGACGCCTACATTAACTGAGCAGATTAGCTACTAAGACAGCTACGCGCAATGTGATCTAAGTGTCCCTGATTTAGCTGATTTAGCGAGGGGCTTCAAGGCTAATTATATTTTTTGAGAGAAAAAATAAACTTCCGTATCCAGGTAACATGCACTGCCAGAGTGACACCACTTTCGCTTGTGTTAACTAAGTGGTCAATAGATTTTGACTCCGAACAATCTATCCCCCAAAACGCACCCTGCCTGTCCATCCACATATGCCCCATCTGAATGGCCTTTTCTCTCCTTACCTAGCCCTGACATCATCATAGAGACCACATCGGCGTTAAAGTTGACGCTTTTCTGCATCCATGATTTATTTGGAAGGATTTGAGGAGAGAACTTAAGGTGGGCAGGGAGGAGACGCTGTGCTAGCTTGATGCAACTATTACGCGGTGCCTACAGCTCCAGACACTCATTCGGGTAATCTTGATAGAAGCTGACAACAAGAACGCTATTGGTACCATTTAGCATTCACCGACCAGGCTCAGCCAAGAACACATGAGCCCATTCTGTAGGACAACTAGCGCCGACGTCACTCATACGATTCGTTATCTCCCTCGTACAAATCTGCTATGTCAAGGGATGACCACCACGTTGCTCCCGCCACTCTGAATTGCGCACCAAAAATGACACGCTTCGGCAAGCGGTAATTTGGTACATGCAATACATGACCTGATGGACGCAACTTCTGGTGTACGACAGGTTCTACAATGGAAGACACCGTTGCTAAACGGAAAATCGCCTTTTAACGGCCTAGTTACAGGATCACTGAAACTAATCAACACGAGCAAAGGTGTTGAGACAAGGAGTATTGCACACCCAGAGACGTCCCGGTTCTACTGCTAGTACAGGCCAATTATCACAGCCATATAAAAAAGAGCCTGCACTCTTGCTTTAGGTTCAAGAATAAACCACCATGCGTGCCTCCAATTAGCAAACGAGACCCGGGGTTTGGAACTTCGTGCCTTGAACACATCTGTCACAGCACAATCAAGACTAACACATTTTACAATGTACGTGAAAGGCTCCACAAATTTGACTGCTTCTCCCTGGATTGTGTTCAGTGACTGCATGTCCAGGAGCATGTCTTTACACTTTGTGGGTTCAAAGTGCATACCAAAGGATTGGGTATCCTTGTTCCGTTCGTCGAAAAATACCTGCGTCTTCTCCTACTCTTCGAAGACTAGAACTGCGTTGTTTGCGAATTTCATGTCAAAGACGTTTTCGTCGCACGCTATTTGAACGCTGGCGTTTGTAAGACCTTGCGTTCGTCTCATTGTCCCACTGACTTTGCAATTAAACACGAATGGAGAGAGTGAGCCTTATCATCGGCAGCGCTTTGTGTACGGAAACAGTCATCGATGAGTCGAATCTTACTGTTTCTGACATCAGGTACCACCGGAATATGCAGCGGTTGTTCGTTCCTCGGGAAGGAGCTGCGGGGTGAGTGCGATGGCCGTGATAACCTGTCGACATTTTGAAAAAGTCATGGAAGTCTTCGCACAGAAACCGTGAAGTGTGATGCGTCGGAGTCATGATGTGTAGTCCTGTATAAATGGTTGCGAATTAGTTTATATCAGCCTAGAATTTGAGGGTTTGTTGAGCCCGGTCACGGATCCGAAATAATGGAGGCCTCAAGCCAAAAAATGCAGCACTCCGCTAACGGCAACACTTGGCCCAGAAAGTTAAACCGCCGCTGTAGGGAAGTGTCGTCATCCGGCTTACTGTTTCAACCATATCGGAACCTATTAAGGTGGTTAAATGTTTCCACCTTGGAAATAACTACGCTGCTTGGCTGTGTCGTTCGCCTATTTATTTTGAACTCTTTTATGCTCTTCCCGGCACCTTCGAAAGGCCGTATAGATTAGATGGGCACAGGCAGTTGCACACGAATATATGCTGTTGAGTTGATAGATGACTCAATAGGCCATGTCTAACTATCGGATTACAATTATGCAGCTTTAGCGCCACTAGTATTAAACTAACTGACTAAGAATCTGAAGAGGTTTTCAGACCCAGTTCTGGTTTCTCGGGGTCCATACCGCAATTTTATGGTCCTCTAATGACTTTTCTTTGCTGACTGATCTAAAAGAGGGTGCTGTCAAGGGGATGCAAGTAGCTACATTGATAGGCGAGGAATTGCCGCCACGTTTTAGGCGCTGGGGAAACTGTTAGTTTATCCTTTTTGTCATTTAGTGCTCTGGAGGACATAGTGATCCAGGCACATATAACATTGTGTATACAGCGTGCTTTATGTGATAATCCATTAAAAAGTAGAGGTGATTCGCTCAAAGAACATTAGGTAATTTTCCACTACTGCATCATACGCACGATTGCTATTGAGAGGTTACACCTGAATCTCTTATTTGAAGATAATCCGAAGGTACCGGAGTACGCACCGCGACTAGTCATTGGAGCTCACCTACTTATTTCGGAATAGAATCGTGTTCGTAAGCCCTTGCCACTGGGGATATCTCTGTAGGATCCGCGGGTGGACTTGACATCAGCCCCTATTGTTTTAATACATCAATTGGCTTTTCATGGAGAACACTGGCCTCCATCTTCGACGGTTGTGAGACTGGTCGGCCCAGGTTTGTTCTAGTTCCCGGGGTTCAGCTCACACTACTAGCCTAGCTTTCGTAGTTTCACGAGCGTCAGTTATGTTCACGGTTTTAGTGCGATGCCGGCCATATTCTGGTATTAGTGGAAGCCGTGTGTTCACTCTTCTATGCTTCGTTGACCATCCAACTTTAGATGTCTCAATCTGACGACCAAATGCCGTTTAATTTATGGGGCAACAACGATTTTTGGAGTTCAGCAGCACAGAGTGAACTTACGAGAACTGATGTTTGGGCACCTGCCACGAAGCTTTCTACATCTGCAAAACACTCCAAATTAAACGGTATCGGTAGGCTCTCTGTTGATTTTGTTGAAGCACTCCAGTGTCCCCCAGAGATTCCGAAAAAGGCTGCGAAGAAAAGAAATCGGTCGACGTGGCCACTTCGAGTAAGTCACACCAGATAACTCATGTGCCTAGTGCCATGGGCTGCTATAGGTTCCGTTCTCCATGAGGTCGACTTGCCTTCAATTTGGTCTGCACCGAAGCTGTATCCGTCCATTGACCAGAACCTCAGTCTTTCAGATTCTGTACCATGGGCACCTGGTCTCCATAACTCCAGTAACGATGCCCTGGACAGGGCCCCCTCCGTAGAGGTAACCTCACTGTTCGGATTACCCTTGAATATTTCAGCTATGGGATTCATCGCGTGACCCTCTACTTTTCCCTGTCCCTACCTTGGATCAGGATAATGTATGGAAGACGAGTTCTATTTGTCCTAATGATTCAACTCCAACAGAAATGGCAGCAAGTAATTGCAGTTTTCATACCATAAGTTCGCTCTTAGATCCCGATATTCAGTTCGCCGCGAACACCAGCACGTCCACTAGCTGCACCTCCTCAAGTTTTACGCCCCATGTCTCTGTCTCCGGCGCCTTTGATGCTGAAACTGGTGAGCTATTTTAATATCGTGACCTGCAATTTGCATTGGTGCAAGGAAACTACTCGAGTTATGGAATTTTCTATGGTTCATTTGGACACGCTGATGTTCATAAGTTTGCTCAACATGTCTTGTCACTTGCCGCCCTCATTCTTTGATTGAAACCATGATTGGTGGATTTACACACCATGCACCCATTTCAAGTTCACTTCGGTCTTTGATTTCGTCCGCGGTCCTGAAAAGCAGGAACTGTAAGTAACAACTGCTCCTAACTGATCTGCAAATCATTTGCCAAGCTCGGCGAACAGATCAGCATCCAGCTGATCAATTACCAGTTAATGAACCCGAGTTATTATTGCAACACGTCCTGAAAACCATGGTTTGAGTGCATTCCAGCATTCGTCTCATTATCTCGTAGGTCATTGTGTCGAATAAGAATGGAGAGACTGGGCAAAAGAACACTACTTGGCGTTCGAAGCTTTTAGGGAACTTTTCGTATACTGTTTCACGTTCCGGCGTCAGAAAATAGGGGAATTATGTTCACCTCGGTATTGGTGAGCGCGTTGTCAAGGAGAACAGTCCGGTCAACCGAGTCGAATGCGTATTCGGAACCCAAGAATTCTAAAATTCTGGTTCATTTGCTCTCGCTGGAAAGTTAGTCAACAAATTCCACTAGGCTGGGTTCCTGCTTGCCGACTCTTGATTCAGAATAACATCGGGTTAATTTGGGAAACTTCTAGGACTCGACAGTGGTGATAGTGCCTCGGTAACTGAAGAAAGGGGAAAAAGCCGTGCTCACAGCCTTTATACCTACCTGCCTGAGCTTGCTTGAACACGTTCTAACCACAATTGGGAACTCCGTTTTAAAACGTACTAAGAACGATTGACTATCGTGGCGCGCGGAAATCCCTCAATCACCAAACGGTGAAGAGCCAAAGGTTGATTTTGGTGAAACACAAAACCCGGGGAATAAAGAAAGCCTGTGCAACAAGGAATAGCCATACCCGGTCCCAGTTAACCCGGTCGTTCGGCCCGAGAGCGAGTTTAGGAAACGTGACCTCCAGAAAACGTAGGACCTCAATTCAGTTATGGACTAAATCAGTTATGCACTAAACACTGGAAAATGATTTAGCTGCCTCCCACCAGTTCTGGGGGGAACTAAAATGACTCGAGTTGAACTTCGACATCCGTCTGCAAACGGCGAGGAGGTCCAACATGCTATTTAATTGCTTGAGTGCAACGTAACAGTCCAGATGTTTTGTATGTTCTATTCTGCAACGAAAGCGGTGAGCCCTTGGTAGCTGCCCTGCCAAAACGGTTGTGGATTTCGAGAGTACATGAGATGAAGGTTTTCGCTGCAGGCAGCAGCTGCCCCCTATTTCAGCTGATTCGATCAACCGATCAAAAGAAACGTCAGCGAAACGATGTGCGAAGAAGACGTCTGGCAATTCACTCACAGAATCGTCATCTCGAGCGACTGACTGGTCTCCACAACCATCGCTGGGAGAACCCAGGCCACCATCAGCAACATAAATCCAGCGTGAAATATCAATTCTTCAACATGATAAGGTTGTTTCGGATGGTCTGACCCCGCACTCTTCAAAGAAGGTGATGAGGTCCTGTTGAAAAGTCTGACGACTATACTCCAGGAGATTTGGAACGAAGACAATACAAGCGGAATGGAGCACCTCGGTCATCATGCGAAAACCTCTGTGGCATCCTAGTACCCACTTCATTATGGGTGTTCACTAGCATTGTTTTGAGCATTGTCGGTTAATGAGAATCAAACTGGGTTTCAGCAAGGTGGAGGATGCTTCGGCCATATCCTTATATTGAGAAACGTTTTCGAGCAGCGCTATTCCTTCAAATGTCCTACCTTGGACGTTTGATCTAAAATCTACTTTTGACTCTGACGAACAGTAGTGCCCCTTCCAAATTTGTCCTTTATGGGGCCACTGTATAGGAACTGTGGGTGACTACTAGTATACGGTAAGCTTTCGCCTATGTTCACCAATGAACTGGTGCAAGACAAGGTTGCCCTATCTTATCTTTCCTCTTCAATTTTGTTATTGATATCCTGCTTAAAATTTCTCTGCCTGTCTTTGAAACCACGGAAGCTGAAATGCTACCGAGAATCCCGCTTACAGACATTGCGTATGTGGACGATATTACTCTCCTTGATCCTTCAAAAATCCATTTAGGTTACCCAATTAATTCCGCGTGGTTTGCAATGTGCTTCACATCTGCAAATTGTGAAGTGTCGATGCAAGACTGCGTGGGATCAAGCCTCATCATCATCAAGCCTCATACTTGCAGACGATCCAATCGATTTGGTAGATAAATTTATTTATCCCGGTGGACGTATAATTCCCTGTCAGCAGACTAGATGAGATTTCTTGAATCGTCAAGGCTAGGGTCGATCTTACCAAACTGTGACGCCTATGGTGCGACTTGACATCAGTTTTTCTGTTAAGGGCGGATTTTACACTGCGGCAGTGCGGCCTCTACTGTGGATCAAATAGTGGTCTCTACGTACGTACGAAAGTTGTCAGTGTTTGATTATCGGTCAGGTCTGGTGGCAACACCGGGTTAGTAATGCTGAGGTACGCCAGATGGTCGTAGGAAGAAGAAACTCGTGACAGATGAATTACCCACGCTTCGTAGATTACGCTGGTTAGGCCATGTACTCCACATATCAGAAGACTGTCTGCCTCGCAGGGCTCATTTCAGCCAGTCTTATGGTGAGTGAAAGCGACCGAGAGGTGTATGACTTGGCAAAAAAGTATGAAAACAAAAAGTAAGCTCAGTCGGCTCGACAATTGCCGCTTCTCTAGATGGGGACCCCAGGACTCAACTCACCAATGGCTAATGGCACTGGCAGAAATGCGGTATTGGGTAGCGGTCAAGGACTGTACAATAAATGAGTGCTCGATAGTCGCCGTACGCTCGCCAGTCACCAGTGGGTTTTCTGGGGACCAAATGTTGAGGAGGAGCCCAACATGAATTTGGAGGCCGAATGATTCCGAGTTGCAGCATGTGGTCAAACTCGGCTTTGGTGACGCAAAGCTTAGGGTGTATACGCCGAGGGCGAGAGTGTGAAGTGGAGGACCAGTGGTCGTTATGTGAAGCTCAACTGAATGTGGCGCACTCGAGATCGAATGGGACGGCTTAAGCAAACGAGGAAACTGGTTAAATCGTCAAAAACCGGAATGTTTGAAGTACGGGCAACGTGAATACCGAGTGGGTATAACGAGGCGTCGATCTGGATTGATGACGTCAGAGAATCCAGAAGCTTTTGACGCTTGATATCGACGGCCAGTGAGAAGTTGGTCAGGAAGTCCGCACTGATGACTGGGACAGGAACGTCGGCGACAGCGAGGATCCAGGGGAATGCACGGCGATGACCCAGGTCTAGCGTCAGCGACTCATGATCGCAGTTAGCTATGCGAGTGTCGTTAGCGGGTTAGAGGTGTAACATTTTGAGTTTCCGGCAGGAATAACGCCTATTTCTGCACCGGTGTCGACGAGGAATCGCATTCCGGTTGCCCCATCCGTAACGCAAGAAAGGCGACTAGGTGACTGGCCAGTGGCAGCTGTCGCTACTACTGACTGGCCAGTGAGTTTCCCTGGTCAGGGGAGACGTAGGCGCATGGAGGTGTACAACGTAGAGCCTTTTCTTTAAATTTCGTATGGTAATAGCACAAGCGATTAGGATTCCGAGATGGAGAGTGCGGTTTACGTAAAACCGGTCGGGACTTTTGTGATGTAGTAGTCCGCCTCAGTGTGGTGACTACCCTGTTGACAGTGGCCGCAGCCTTTTCTTTTTCGTATGGTAATAGCACAAGCGATTAGGATTCCGAGATGGAGAGTGCGGTTTACGTAAAACCGGTCGGGACTTTTGTGTGTGAGTAGTCCGCCTCAGTGTGGTGACTACCCTGTTGACAGTGGCCGCGACTTGATCGATTTGCGTCTGCATTCCATTGAGGCGTGCTATAACAGGGTGATCATCAGGCTGAATGTGGTGTTGTGAGGTTGAAGCTATTAAACGGTCAGAGAAGCATTCGTGAATCTTATCCGCGGTCTCAGCGAGCGACGACAGAGTGACATCGCATTGGGTAGCCAGAATTTGGCGAGTACCTAAGGGAAGACACTGCAACCACAATGGCTTTGAAATTGCGTCATCGGACGGCTTGCCGCAGGCTAGGTTTTGCATGTGTCGTAGCAGTTGTGTGGGCGTGCGATCGCCCGGTTTGACTCCTACAAGCAACTTGTAGATATGCTTCATCTGAGGCGAATGTCCCTTTAATCATTGCTGCTTCGAGTGTGGTGTATGGATTTAATGCCGACATGAGATCAATCACGTCAATAGCCTCTGTGGCAACCTCAGTCAGAAGCGGAGAAACCACGCAAAAACGCATGGTCTGATGTGAAGTAATGCGGCGAAATTGGATGTAACATCCTAGTTGGATAAGCCACACTCTGGGGTTATTGGCTCCAAAAGCTGGGCGTTTCATGTGAATGGCGTTTTCCATCAAGTCAGTGTTGAGTTCGTCCTCGTTGGACATGGTTGAACTAGTAAGTTACTGGACTAATCCGAGTTAACTATGTAAATGGGTTAAAGCTATGGGGAATCTGAGCTGCCGGGGAAAATAGAACAACGCAAAAAATGCGGGCTCACCAGTTATGTAGTGGGTAACGGCCCTATGAAGATACTAGTGGAAAGAACAGGTTACTAATGTAAGTCAGATACAATGTCACAGGGAGAAAAATCCAAATTAATCTTGACTCACAGTTACGATAGGAAATTCCCTAGCCCGAGATCCCGTTGGACCACCACACCAAGAGAGTTCTACCTTCCTGGTATTCCAAATCTCCGGTGATCGCAATATTAGTCCACAGGTGTGAATAGATGAGTCCAGTGTGTGAAGCTAAAATTTTTTTTCACGTTTAGGATTAGCAGACAACTGTAGCCCACCGGCAGTCACAACAACAGTCACTCAGCAAAAGTCCCAAAGTCACGCTGAACCCCAGAAGCAAGCGGTTGGAGTTGTATTTCAGTAAAACAAACAGTAATGCGACGGATATTGATAAGAAAATGGAACATAATACTGAGGATGGAAAATAGCGGTTTACAAGTGCTGCATAACAACTGCTCACGGGGTTTTGTAAATCATCACTTCTGATAAAGATTAACGCATTAAGCATAGACTTTCTCGTAACGCATCTTCCCAGCTGGGTGTCTTATAAATCGTTTTATTGCTTTTGTAGGTTCATCTCGAAAGAACCCCAGTCTAACTGAAGACTCCTCTTCTTTGGCTACGCTATCCACTGAGCAACTCTGTGATCACCTTATTAATTCCAATGAAGGCTGGGGTCGGCGGCCTATCGACCAAACGATACCATGGGATTTCACTGACCTGTTGAAGGCCGGTGACCAGTTAGTCCGAAGCGGGATCACAACGCCCACCCCAGCTCCTCGCCCAAGTGGTGGGGGTAGTGGCACCAGTTTTACAGCCTTTCGCGCTCCCCTCCAAGCACAATCCACACTAGAGTCTAATGTCTGGACCAACGAAACACCCACGGGTACAGCTATTTGGGAAATGCACTATGAAAACACTGCTGCTCGTGGCTCCGTATGGCACCCTTCCCTGACCCCTCCTAGTGCACCTGTGCCATCGACTTCCGGTCAAGCATCCACTACTCCAGTTTTGTTTCTAAACACCGCTAGTGGGAGAAATGTACCAACCCCCTCTAACTCTGTACTCAATCGCGGAGCCGCAAATCGACCTTGGGATCAATCCGACAGTAAGTTCTTGCATTTCAGACAATATAACATTCGTCGTATACATTTTCATCGAATGCGCAGTGTAGCAGACGCGACAGAACAGGATGGTATTCCAACGGTATGATAACTGTCTGAGTAATAAACGGGTTTTAGTATTTACGTAGGAAAAAGCGTGACTTGATCGATTTGCGTCTGCATTCCATTGAGGCGTGCTATAACAGGGTGATCATCAGGCTGAATGTGGTGTTGTGAGGTTGAAGCTATTAAACGGTCAGAGAAGCATTCGTGAATCTTATCCGCGGTCTCAGCGAGCGACGACAGAGTGACATCGCATTGGGTAGCCAGAATTTGGCGAGTACCTAAGGGAAGACACTGCAACCACAATGGCTTTGAAATTGCGTCATCGGACGGCTTGCCGCAGGCTAGGTTTTGCATGTGTCGTAGCAGTTGTGTGGGCGTGCGATCGCCCGGTTTGACTCCTACAAGCAACTTGTAGATATGCTTCATCTGAGGCGAATGTCCCTTTAATCATTGCTGCTTCGAGTGTGGTGTATGGATTTAATGCCGACATGAGATCAATCACGTCAATAGCCTCTGTGGCAACCTCAGTCAGAAGCGGAGAAACCACGCAAAAACGCATGGTCTGATGTGAAGTAATGCGGCGAAATTGGATGTAACATCCTAGTTGGATAAGCCACACTCTGGGGTTATTGGCTCCAAAAGCTGGGCGTTTCATGTGAATGGCGTTTTCCATCAAGTCAGTGTTGAGTTCGTCCTCGTTGGACATGGTTGAACTAGTAAGTTACTGGACTAATCCGAGTTAACTATGTAAATGGGTTAAAGCTATGGGGAATCTGAGCTGCCGGGGAAAATAGAACAACGCAAAAAATGCGGGCTCACCAGTTATGTAGTGGGTAACGGCCCTATGAAGATACTAGTGGAAAGAACAGGTTACTAATGTAAGTCAGATACAATGTCACAGGGAGAAAAATCCAAATTAATCTTGACTCACAGTTACGATAGGAAATTCCCTAGCCCGAGATCCCGTTGGACCACCACACCAAGAGAGTTCTACCTTCCTGGTATTCCAAATCTCCGGTGATCGCAATATTAGTCCACAGGTGTGAATAGATGAGTCCAGTGTGTGAAGCTAAAATTTTTTTCACGTTTAGGATTAGCAGACAACTGTAGCCCACCGGCAGTCACAACAACAGTCACTCAGCAAAAGTCCCAAAGTCACGCTGAACCCCAGAAGCAAGCGGTTGGAGTTGTATTTCAGTAAAACAAACAGTAATGCGACGGATATTGATAAGAAAATGGAACATAATACTGAGGATGGAAAATAGCGGTTTACAAGTGCTGCATAACAACTGCTCACGGGGTTTTGTAAATCATCACTTCTGATAAAGATTAACGCATTAAGCATAGACTTTCTCGTAACGCATCTTCCCAGCTGGGTGTCTTATAAATCGTTTTATTGCTTTTGTAGGTTCATCTCGAAAGAACCCCAGTCTAACTGAAGACTCCTCTTCTTTGGCTACGCTATCCACTGAGCAACTCTGTGATCACCTTATTAATTCCAATGAAGGCTGGGGTCGGCGGCCTATCGACCAAACGATACCATGGGATTTCACTGACCTGTTGAAGGCCGGTGACCAGTTAGTCCGAAGCGGGATCACAACGCCCACCCCAGCTCCTCGCCCAAGTGGTGGGGGTAGTGGCACCAGTTTTACAGCCTTTCGCGCTCCCCTCCAAGCACAATCCACACTAGAGTCTAATGTCTGGACCAACGAAACACCCACGGGTACAGCTATTTGGGAAATGCACTATGAAAACACTGCTGCTCGTGGCTCCGTATGGCACCCTTCCCTGACCCCTCCTAGTGCACCTGTGCCATCGACTTCCGGTCAAGCATCCACTACTCCAGTTTTGTTTCTAAACACCGCTAGTGGGAGAAATGTACCAACCCCCTCTAACTCTGTACTCAATCGCGGAGCCGCAAATCGACCTTGGGATCAATCCGACAGTAAGTTCTTGCATTTCAGACAATATAACATTCGTCGTATACATTTTCATCGAATGCGCAGTGTAGCAGACGCGACAGAACAGGATGGTATTCCAACGGTATGATAACTGTCTGAGTAATAAACGGGTTTTAGTATTTACGTAGGAAAAAGCGTCACCGTTTGTATTCATTCGTGTAGTGTCAGGGTCAACACCTGTTGTGAACTAATGTCCCATCGCCATTGTCACTGTAGCATTGTTCTTATTTGGTTTACTACCGCGGTCCGCATCGCTCAGGTACTCTAATTGCTTTTCAGTGAAACTCCTACTTGGTAGTGCTCCGTAGATTGTGCCTGGTTTTTTCTGGATGCAGTCAGCGGGTTTCTATAGGGAAGTAAGATTGGAAACATGAAAGCCATTACTGGTCAGTTCGGTGGCACTGACAACTGCCCTAGGTTTAGGCCTTGAAACGTTACCAATAGTTGGTCGCTGGCGGAGATGAACAAGGCCACTCGACCATTGATTTTCATACTGTCGAGTTAGTGCCTTCAGTATATATCTCTCGTCTCTTGATATTCACATTTGTAATAAAACCTTTCCTCCACAGCGTTCACTGGCCACTTCACAGTCCGAAATCACCAGCTGTTCCTCATTGTCATACCTCTCAAACGTAGCTACATCGGTCCACAAAACTAGTATCTGGTTGGTCACTGCGTCGTTTTCTCTATCGAACAGGCACGCATTTAGGGGCACCAGTCTCTACCAACTACCACCTACCTACGCAACCACCAACGCAATCTCGCAGGTGGTCATCTATGTCTGTTACTGTAACAATGAATAATTAAGCGCGGGAGCTAGATGGTTCAACTGGTTAGAGCGCGAATTTACTGACCGGAAGGTCCGTGGTTCGAACCCGACCTCTGACTCTCGACTTCTTCTGTCTAGGCTTGGGCAACCTGGCAGTATCCCAGCCCTCGGTGGATGTTAGGTCACAGCTGAATGAAGCTCGGGGTGATGCGCAAATCAGGAGTTCCTGGCCAGAGGATTAGTAATCTGAGTTCAACCTCGGCATCTCTGCTACCTGTTTGGTGATCTGAGCAATCTACAAGTATTTTAGCCTTCCTGTCGCATCATAACTGTGGCCAGAAACTGCACTTGGTTTATGTACGTCTTTCTTATGCTAGACAAGTCCTTTTGCCTGTTTTTGCAAATTAGGCTCTAAGTTTCAACACAACCTGTTTTCACAAGAATATGAACGTGTAATTTTCGTAGAGTCGTGTTTCCGAGGCACTGATTTTGGGTATACATTGAGTGAGCAAAGGCTAATCGGACAACCTAAAACAGCCTATGAACCCTTAGGATCTTGAGGTCACCCGTACACTGGTTACTTTTTTTACCGCCACAGCCGAACGTTTATGAAACTTTCTTGATTGCACTTTGGTTAATTTGCTCTGTGTCACCATTTACCTAGAAATGTGGACTCCTGGAAATGGTACTATCAACAGTGGTCGTCCCGTACTTGGCAGTGCGCGTGGCACCATTGCAGGTGTCAGCCAAACTGATGAAATCCCTAGTTGGTGCGGTGGTGATGCTTCAGGTCTTAATAATGGTAATATGTTGGTGGAAGGCGGTAATGTCAATACCACTTCATGGGACGGCTTTCCTGTTGCAACTGCAAGTCCTCTCCAGTGGAATTCGAATGTCGGTGGCTCATTTATGACAACCGAGGAACAGCGTCGTAATCAGAGCGTAAACAATCTCGCAACAAATGGTCAGGTACCTGTGGTGAGTTTATTTGTCAGTGTGTACCCTTCGCACGCAGGAAGTCTGTTCACACTCGGAATTCGTCTGTGCTCATTCCCTGCTTACGTGGAACTGTGTTTTGGATTATCTTGAATTAGTATCTTCTGATTCATCTCACAGCATTGGCGGTGACACTACTATACCTACTAACTTGTTTACTCTTCTGGTACTCGGAGAATAGGCATGTAGGCAGTTCCTCACCTCAATGAAGGTGGATGCACCCGTCGTTTTTCTTTAGGTCAAAGGTGATTCCGACGGCTATCTACTGACACGGTTGTTTCTCGGGATTGTTCGGTCCTCGCCTACCCTGTGCTCGGAATTAGCTGTCCAATGTATTCTCGCAACTGTCCTCACTAAAATGAAGGGGTGAAACTTTTTCGGGCGCTATGGCCTGACCTACGTTTCGTGCGTTGTCCCTCTAAATGAGTCGGTTAAATGGTGACTATTGACCAGCTTTACGGTTGATTATGAGTCATCTGTGGTAAGGTGGATGGATGGGGTTACCTTAGAAATGCAACTCGTATGATGGTAACGCCATTTAACCTCTTGTCCAGGGGCCAGCCGTCCCTAATAACCGAACAACACATCGTTTGGACGAATGTGTCACGTGCAGGACACGGACCTGATTGGTCAGAATACCAGCCAATCCGGAGCGAGCATCTTTGACTCGACGCTTCTCGCCCCCCTCACGGAGATTCTAGCACGACCTTGTGAAGCGCTGTGATTACCCTATCAATACAGTTATAATAATTTTCCTTTTTCTCCATAAAGGGCTGTGTAGAGCTACCGTGTCTTTTATCATACCATAGTGGGCGGAGCAGGTAGCCAAGGGAGCGATCGTCCACCAAGACCCAACACCTTTGCAAAGTCTCTACATCTCTTCCGCTTTTTTGGAAGTCGAACTTAGTTATGCAAAGTCTAGATGTGCATCATCGAACGGAAAATCGAACCGGACGAACCACATGAATATTTCTAGTATGTGGCCATAAGGGCCACAGTTAACACAACGGCTTTTCAGCAGAGTCCGAATGCTCATCATCATTCACATCGGCGCCGGCTCTGAAGCACTGATGCTTCATTGCCACGCATTCATGTCGATTTACCTTAAGACGTAGGTAAAATTGGAAAAGGGAAGTTTAGTGCTAACTGTTAGGCGGAATTCCACACGGTTCCCGCTTTACTGCTCACAGTCAGGTGCTGCTACGGCCGAAAAGCCCAACCCACGCAGGATTGGCCAAAAGTTCGCGACGCTTGCCGGTCCGGCATCAAGCCGGGATCTGATTGGTCGAAATTCTGGACCCAACAGCCAATCATGACCCAGTATTGTCCGAATGCCGGTTGCCAGTGGCGCATCCAGAACGCGTCAGAATTTCTAGAAAGTTATTGCTGCCTGCGCTGTATATATGAAGCGCTGTACAAGTGTTCCTGACTTCGTTTTGGGCGTTAATATACCTTGTGCGCCTTTGGTAGTTGTTTTGACGTGAACGCTAGCTTGCGAGGCTCAGACCGAGAACTAAGCTGAGAAAAATACCGTTACTACACAAACCTAATGCAAACATGTGGTATGCCCACCCTTCAACACTCAATCGAACACTTCGCATAGAAGCGGGTAAAATGGACGTTATTTACCTTTTTCGCTGCCCTACGTTGCAGCTGGAATGATTAATCTTGATCGCCCCTGGTGTTTTGATGAACGGCTACACAAGTCCGTACGTGCTATAGGGAAGTCCGCAATGGCTACCGCTCCGGGTCAACGGTGCTGCTTCTCTGAAACCACCATCCCCTAATAGCGTTGAGCAGAACCTTTTAATTTCAATAGAAAATATAATGTGGAACGGTCATGATTGCTGTGCAGTCTAACCTGTTCATTGGAGCACACTGTTGCGGAATTGCGAAGCACGACTTATGCAAGGAAAAAAACGACGACTTCGAATCCTCACTATCTATAGATTCATGTGATCCCCCAGGCTATACAGGACCAAGTCTGGATGCGTAAAATTCTCATAACAGTCACCGGACCCATCCACTTTTTACGCGGGTGGTTCGTGCACACGACAGCAAGTTTGTAGGCCAAACTCTCGGTGGTTCCATAACCATTTATGCGACCACGTGATTTGTAATTTACGTAAGCATCCACCTTAGTACTACTTTTTTGAGCGAACGTTCTCCTAGTACCGTTGTTTACGTTTTGAAAGAATACCCGCTTCGTATCTCAGATACCAGACTTGACGTCGCTCTCGAGGAAAGTTGGGCTACAACTGACAATCAGCCATTAATTCGGGATAGCGGGATGTTGCAGTGCCTTCATAGGGAGTTGTAAATTTAACTGCTAAATCAAGATCCCTTGTATGGTTCCTTGGTTGCGCCTACCATTTGACCTCAAGGCGAGACTGAAGAGGCAAGAGATGTGAGCACGGTGTATCCCTATTGTCGCAACTAGTGTAGGGTGTACTGCGTGTCTTAAAGCAGGATTTGTGAGTGGACCTACCTTCTATCTCTCTTAGCGACTACCATCCCTAATGCGACAATACGTTGTTCGTTTGTTTCAAAATGGGTACCGTCGATCGAGTCTTATTGTTCGACAGTCAAGTTTCTGGACTATTTGCCGATCAACGCAACGAACAACTATGACAGCCCTTAGTCTTGTTCCACAGCGCACGCGAACTGGACAGAATGGTGAAACCAGTCCATCTGTTTTCCTTCTTCCGTTGTTTCCAACCCGAGATCACTGAAGTGACTCACCCTCATGTCTCAAAATGCCCTCCGTTTTGCTGTTGTTTCTAAGGGTGAGGTTTGCCTTCACACCTCTTCCCTCGCCCCCTGCGCTCACTCATCCATCCACTTTCCCGTTACCTTTTGTCCAAGGCAAGACGTGTGCCTGTTGCCTCTCGATATTGCAGTGATTACGCCTCTGAGGTTCTTCCCTCTCCACTTTCGGCTGTGAGAATGTTCTTCAGTTCGACTCTGCATTAGTTACTCTGAATAGCCTGTTTCCTCGACTGCGATTGATCAAGCTGGAGTTTTTCAGTTTCTGTCTGGGTTGTCTGACGGAGTCGAAGGTGTGGGCACCTCGAATATTCGTGTTAGGCTAGCCTAAATCTCTCCCTCCTCCCTGCCCCATTTATCCTTCCGATATAGAGCATCTTTCATATAAATTGACTTCGTTGTACGGCGGTGAATAACTAGCATTCTCATCTGGTGTTTCTGTTAATGATGATGAGCACTTCAGTTTTTTCTTCACCCTTTGTTGTGCCTATTTCTCCACCTCCAAGATTCTCGTCGCTTCCAGCTTTTTCCTTGGCTGGCTGTTCTGCGCAATACGTTGTATCTGAAGGCGCGGTAACTGGAAATAACTTTTTACGGAGATAAGACTTGTACTTGCATAAGATAAGACTTGCACTTCCATTTACGGGTTTACCACGAAATTCTCCTCTAGGTCGGACCAGAATCTGCGTGATACTCGAAGCGCTCATCTAAGAAAGTCCGATCCTGATTTGCTCACATTCTGACCTATCAAGACGTGCCTTTGTTTGCAGTCAAAAAACTTCCGAGGTCGTAGGAGTTTCCAGGTTCACTGTTCAGGGAACCAATACCGTTTGGCGGTCCGACTGAGCAGCATCGTGTCCATGGGAATTGTTATCCAAAGTGCCCAGCGGTCGAGTTTTTCTCTATTGAGGGTGATCCTTGATAGTATCACTCACAGGCTGTTTCGGAGGACCGGTCGCTTATTTTCACTCGACTTCTGTTAATCCGGCGGGAACATTTCTCTGATTTTAGCGGCGACATCTGATATCCGGTGTTCCATTTCGCCTTTTAGCGCCGCGTTACATGTACATCTCACGGCGTCGTGCGAGAATGCAGTGATCTCTTTCCAGAGCGAGTTGACATTCGTCGGTGAGGCATTTGAATTCGCTTCCAGATGGTTCTGATAAGTTGGTTTAACTTCAGGATCTTCATGCCTGTCAGTTGCTAAATCTGTTTGCCGCCTGTGCGATTCCAAAATGCGGGTAGTGGAACGACTCTGGACGAATTCGTGATCAGAATCCGCGTGTCTTAGAAGTGACAGTTTGCTGCTTATCCACACCGCCGATACTCGGTAGCAGTGTAATCAATTCGGACCTGTGGCGGACACGCTGTTGGGGGGCACCATGTAGCTGGACGATTCTGGTTATTCCGGATGTTAGTCATGCATAAATGCAGTCTGCGGTCAGGGCCTATCAGTTGCCCACTGTTATGTTATACCGGGTCCACCTCCATTTAATCACCCTATTGAATCTCGCCCGAAGTGTATATTCAGATCCACGGCAACCTCATTAAGATCTGAACACTTGAGATGCCTTTGCAGCGAACTAAGGACGTCGTAAGAGTTTTATCTGATGTCAGCCGCAGTCGGTTGGAGCGTAAATAGACACGGCAGGCAGACCACAGTTAATTTCCCGTTTGTGGAATCCACATATGTTGCAAGACGAATCGCATGCAGGCGGCTGTCAACGCGTATCCAGCAAAAGCAGGATCCGGTGACTTAGAGCGGTGCCGACCCCTACATAGCACCCTCTGGTTCACCAGTGGTGTACAGGCGGAAGCACTGTTTGATACCTTACGCAGTGTCCAGTGTGTTTTGTGCAACCGATTTGTCCCACATTATCCCTTACTAGCAATCTCTAGGTGTAGCATCCTTTTCTCTATGTCATCCTTACTTCCATGGCATATGTCTCCCCAAGATTCTGATAACATCCACTCGTCTCATTCTCTGTTCTCTCTGCACTCCAATTGTATTGTGCCCTCCTGTGGGATCGATCCTAACCTCTTTTGTAACCTTCACTTACCATTGTATCTTTATCCTCTGGGAATATACAACTCTCGAAGATCTAAGGTTACATGTTCTTGTGGTGTATATTACTTACAAGGCATCTCTTCTTCAGTAGGCTTTTTATTTTGTTACAAAAAAGCTCATGTATGGCCGTTCATGATTGCGCCGCTATGGTCTGTCAATCACTCTCGTGGCAGACTTCTTAGCTTCCAATTGTTTACTAATTGTTCATGCCGCGTATTCGCGATCTGTGGGGTTTTCTGCTAGAGCTGCTAGTCACGTCAGTTTAGAACTTACACGGAATGTCCTGTCATTGTTTGACACTTATTCACGTTCCTTTTGTGTCAACATTAGGAACGCATGGTAATCAATCCGTTCAACAATACCTATCGCGCTGATTCTGTGAAATATCTCATGAGTCATGGCTTCAAAAAAGAAGAAGCATTACCCGCGCTCATTGACTGTAATATGGATCCAGAGCGTGCTCTGCACGAGCTGCGTGAGAGATTCAATAACACGCGCTCGGCGATCAACATGCCATCTTCGGGTGCCGCTGGGTTCCAGTCGGGCTTGGGGAATATGGCTTCGCCATTTCAAAATACGAACAATTTCACTCAGTCTAATCAGCATCCAGGATCCGTGTGTGCCCCATCAATGTTAACCAGTTCGGGGGCTGGTCCGCCCCTTTTCTCTGGTCCAAATCAGCGTGCGAAACTTCCAGGGGCTCAAAATAATTCAAGCGCTCTTCCAATGATGACCATGGCGAACCATCCGAACCCGCAGCTGATTCGTCAGCAACTGACACAACAGGTTAGATTATTGCCTTTCACTAAACCGTCCATTTCGTAGTTTCGTTGCACGTCTCGTTGTCACTAGCGTTGTTAACAGCGATTCTGTTGAAGTTTCACGTACCCCTAGGGGGCGTTCCATGTTCTTACTCTCCTACTGTGCGACTTCACGAATATCTTGAATGACTGTCACGCATAAAGCACAATCCGTGACTCATTGGGACGTAATTGGTGAATTAACGTGTAGTTTGTGTGCAACAGCATCTCTAGCGCCACACGACCCCGAGACGAAAGAAAGGTTTGGAGAGAGTCTTTCAGTTTCCCTTCTAACGGGCTTCGTTGGATGTTATAGTGAGCAACTCAGACGAGAAATAACAGCATTGACGCACGCCTGTAGGATATCTCGTCATCTTTAGTATCCACTGGATGACTGTTCAGAGTAGGAATAGGACCATGAATCCCTGTGGTTGCCCTTCGGTTATGGGGTAGATCGACATCTAGCAGTCATCTATATCTGTCTGTTTGTATGGGGCAGCGGCCACATCCTTATAAATCCCTTAGGTTGGCTAAGCATGTTGAGTCCTCAGCTGCTTTATACGCTGCCTCCGGTTGTGCGAGGATTAGAGTTGCACTTTCCAGCCAGAAGTCGAGTGACAATGTATTTTGCATTAACTCCTGGGGAACTCTGTTTTTATGTGGGCTTATTAGTGCACTGTTGATGATGACAATACAAATCAGAAGGTATCTGCACTAATAAAAGTTTTTAGTATAGTTGACAATGGTGAGATGCCACACGTATGAAAATAAATACGATGCAAAATGGGAGCAAGTCAAAAGAGGAACTTATCGTCTGTGAGAGTTCCTTGGTGAAAGTCCGGACGGCGGGAACGTGTTTTCCCCGCAGTTTGGCTGCTACACGTATTCCATAGTTGTCCGTGAACTTGTGGGGAGTGGTTGACTTCCTGCTCCCTGTGCGGGCGCGTGTGTGTGTTGGGCAGAGTTGTATGCCTATTTATTGTGTGCAGTGTGAAGAGAGGGGAGAGTGTCTCTTCATGTTTGATGCCTGTACGAACATGAATACAACTTGACCTGATGTGGTTGAAGCTCCTAAGCGTGACGCAAATGGTTGCAGAGTGAACAAAAATGGGTGAGAAGTTGTAGTGTACACGTTGTCGGCTAAGGTTGCAAGTGGGACAGGAATTGTCACGTGGTTTGAGTGTTTGTGACGCGTGATCTGATGAGTGACCTCTACAGGCTGAAGTTTGCGCGGAGATTTCGAACATGGTTGGCCGCAATCATGGGTTTTCCTCGGTATGGTTAAGTCAAGTAGGGTTTTGTACACTCGTTTATGAACTCTTAAACGATTTCAACTGGAAAATAAACGAAAATCATATCAATCGGCGTACATTTTGGTAGCAGTTTAATGAGCTGACAATCATGTCGGGGAAAAGATGGAATAACGGTACGACCACATGTGGACAATAAAGGCGGTAACAAAATCTAAGTAAGCTCCTGTGGAACTGACGGGTGTCGGGGTTTTCTGAGAATGCAAGGGAAGCCCGGGAATTAAGGTGATGGGAATGATGGATTTGATCGAGCTCAGCTAGAGTTTACCACTAAACACAATCATAATTTTTGGTCTGGGTGCTTTCTGGATTGTAAATGGCGCGCAATTTCGCCACAGAAAGTGGGCTATGGTGAACGGGCACCAGCTACCAGGACATTTCCCGTGCGGTTTCTCACTGGGTTAGGATGACGGTCGGATATCCTGATGATTACCAACTTTTTGAACCGAGGGTGAAGTTTAAGAATTCATGACACAGGGTTGTGACGGAATGCCAACTACCGGTCTTACTGATGACCACACTGAGGAAGAACGCCACCAGCAGCCATTTTTCTGCGTCGCCTTATTAAGAGGGAGGTCTATGGCAGTGTCTCAACTGCACGAGGGTCCGAAACCCAGATCTGATTGCGCAGCCGCTGCCGAACTAGGGGCATGCGTGTATACGTCTCTTACTTCCTAGTAGGAGCAGGATTTTCAGCGTGTATGAAGTCCGTCATTCCTACACTTAGCTCCGCTTTTTCCTCCTGTCAGCCAGTTTGTCTTAAAGAGCAGATGGGAGGACCGCCTCCCTATGCTGTGGAATGTCTTCGGTCCACTTATTTCCGCTTCGGATCCTACTTAAATCAGGTTAGTTACGTGACTGTTCATTAAGATATCTACCTGCAGCTAACCTACTGATAATACAGGTGTCAATATCTGGGTTCACTGAAACTTCATGAGACTGGACTAGGCATTGACTCATACAGACAACCGGTGAATGGCTAGAATTCAGCCCCTAAATAGCCAACAAACCACAGTTACCTCAGAAAAATAGTAATGCATATCACGAATCTACGATCTGGGCCAGTCAACGCGACCACGTGGTGTCAGTTGAGCAGGGACTGCATTAGGTGAATACTGCATCCGCAAACCATCTGAAGATAAGCTTTCGCAAAACCGCGGACCGCTTGCTCACCAAGGCCATTTGCTCTTGTGAGGTAACGTCCGAAAGAAAAACATGCTTTCGCAGGACATGTAGCATCTCAGAGTGCTACGGAACCGACTGCTACTAGCTCCCGTCCCAGCTTGAATTTCGAATGAAGTCTGTGTTTTCTTCCGCTTTTGAAAGATGTGAAAATGAAAGACCAAGTCTTTTGGTAATGAAATTTATATCCAGTGAAGAAAAACCTGTTCTGTTGTTGGAGAACTCGGCCTACTCTTCCTTGTCTCACCGGACAGCGTGGGTTTTCTACCCGTGAGCATTTTCATGGAATCATCCTGTGTCCTCGAGGATAACTGCCATCCATGTTTGGAACTTGGTCTCTCCATCATTTGTGTCTATGGTGAAACGTTTGTCCCACGATAAACAGTGAGACAACCGATTTGGATCTTTGCATCTTGTCCAAACCGTCGGCTGTCGATGGCAAAAGCGCATTGTAATCGTATACTCCATCCTGACAGGGAGTCCCGACCATTAGCTGTCATCTTATGATAGTGATAATGCCCTAACTCAGTCCTCTGTCTGTACCTTCGAAAATAGCGTTTTCGGCAAAAGGTGTACAAAGTCCATAACCATGTCACGCGCAAAGCGTCATATTTAAAATGTATGAGGCGAAAACATTCTGGAAATTCGGACGCCTCTGAACGTGGCACTTGCGACTGGCATTCGGCGGACACTGAAACATGATTAGTTGTTGGGCCACGCTTCCCCCAGTTAGAGCTCGCTTTGATGCTAGACATGCAGGTAGCGCGGTCTTCTGGCCAATCGTGTTCGACTTACGCTTCTCAGCTGTAGCAGAGGCGGTAAGGCAATTTTGGCGCGGGTTTCCTCCCAGCACACCTTACCATGGTAGTTGACCTTCACCGTTTCGGCGTCTTGTTGAGTTGTACTGGCTGGATCTTTGTTTTTCAAGCTTTAATCAAGCCACTGAAACCCTCTTCTACTACCACTATTCATCCGACTGATACTTTTCAGACGTAGCAGTTACTGTGATATTTTTGCCCAGATAAGTTCTCTGGCACCTAATAGTACGGAAAACAAACCATGGATTTTTTCAGGGTACCAAACGACTTGTTCATTTGTGGGTCAATAACGCCGTGCATTAAGGATAAGTGGACCGCACCATTTCATTGGAGTGACTTGGCGAAGGATTTTACATTTTTAAACGGAACCGTTGTAGAGTCTTTGTCAAAACAGCTATCACCTGTCGTTAAGGAAACTTATTTTAAAGACCAGTCCAATATCACAGGTTGTTCCATTGATTAATTATGAGCATATGTATGAGACGATGCTGAGATGTGGGAGGGTTGTGGCGATAATCCGGCAGTCAAATTCAAGAAACGCGTTCTAGAATTGCCTCGGTATAGCATAGCACACAGGAAGCTCATTCATCCAGTAGTCTGAAGGTTTCAGTCCTTTGATTATAGTACGACAAACTAGATTTGTCCTGAGTCGTCATAGAACGTTTACATATCAGTAGTCTATTTCGTTTCAGGTAAGATCTGCCCTGAATTTGTCACTTCCATCTAACCCCATGAACGGTCCAATCGGGAACAATTCCGTTGGTGTCGCAGGAACCTCACTTTTGGGTCAGCCACCTCCCCCATTACTCAATGGCGGATCGGGTGCTACCTTGCCAGGCGCGTTAACTCCGTCCAATGGACCTAACTTCTTATCATCTCACAGCAGGAACCCGGGCGGTATTCCTGGCGCGTTGACGCCTTTTGCATCCAACTTACCTAACACAGGAAAACGCTCAGCCCGGCAAATGACCATCATTTCAGCGATACAGGACTTACACAAAAAACATCAGGTAATCCGTACTATCGAATACCATTTTGAGTCATCAGTTTTCTAACCAGGTGGAAGCGAGATGGCTCAACTGGTTAGAGCGCGAATTTACTGACCGGAAGGTCCGTGGTTCGAATTGGCCTCTTCCTCTCGACTTCCCCAGTCTAGGCTTGGGCAGTCTGGCAGTATCCCAGTTCTCGTGCTTCCTTCGGGTGGCATGGCAGTTAGGCACAGAAAGGGTGTTGCAGCTGAAAGGCTGGTGTGTTTCCAACTAGGTAGGCGAAAGCGTCCAAAATAGCTTAAATGCTATCGTCTCTCGCGAACTGAAAAGTGAACACTCTCTACGGACAACCCGCTACGGTGTATTCGGCACTCGAAAGTTTAGACTTTGTTTTTTCATGACAGTAAGCGTCACTGTTGTTGGTGGGCAAGTTGACTTAAGTATACAGCTTAACTGTGCTAACCAGATTCTACTGGTAATAACCGATCGCGTGGCTCTCATCCTATGTAACTTGCACATGATTGATGTGCGGAAGGATCGACGGCAGGTGTCAAGCACTGATATGCCATAGATTGTAAAATACCCATGGTCACTTCCACGTCTGTGATACGTTTTATGCGCTTTCTCGCACATAATTTGCTTCGGTAGTGTTTCGACACCAAGGACCATATTCTGTGTGGAACATCTAAGTTTGTACGTTTGTGGACGAAGTGACTGCAATACGCATCCTCACACAGAGATGACCGAAGGGATTGGGCAAACGATTACCATCTAAGAGGGCAGCTCATGATGGAACGGAAGATCCGTGGCTCGGACGCAATCTCAACATGTCGACTGCTGTTGTCTAAGCTTGAGCAACTTGGCATTATCTCAGCCCTCCTGCTTCCTTCGGGTGGCATGGTAGCTACGCACCAGAAGGGTTTTACTGCTGAATGATTATCTCATGACTGAGTTCACTATAAATTACACGATTGTCACAAGCCTGCGCACATGCCTTTGTTGTAAACTCATCTTACTGGTACTGTAATATTGAACACCGACCTTTTTTTATATTACAGAGCATACAACAACAGATAATTATGTACCGAAACAATCCAACAATGTGCTCTCAGCCACAATATGCAGACCTTTTTACGGAACTGCAGGGTCAAATGCAGCAGATCGAGGCTCAGCTGAAAGCCAAACAAGCTCAGTTGAATATTGCCTATGCACAGGATTGTGCCGCAGCTGCAGCTTCATCTACCCTGGGGCATTCGTCTTCTCCCCTGGGAGATGTTAACGGCCCCGGAATATCCGTGCTGAATCCTAACGCTCCCTCATCTGTCCCCTCCGGCAATGCATCACTCACCAACAACAACGGTCAGACTCTGGGTGTGTTTCAGCACAGTCGGACCAATCCAGATCAGTTGGTACAACAACTAATGGAGTTGCGTCTCCGACCTGGCGGATCATCAGGAGGATGTAGGTTAATAACGCCATCTCTATAGTTTTCTCACGCTAAATACCGTCAGCATCGTTGAGGGTTTTGAAACCGTCTGGTACTGGAGAAAGACTGACATGTTTTGAACGTACATTTTGCGAGATTTTATGTGATCCTCCGTGCTTGTTTAACCTCCACCGATGGTTCCCAGTCTTTTCCTCCACAATGGTCTCCATTCATGTGGTCATATCTGGTTTTGCGGACCCATGAAGACAACGACTAAACGCACTGTCGTTCTTGTTTTTAATGCGGTTATCCTATCCATCGAAACGGTGTCCACTTAATGCAATGTGCGGTTGTAGAACAAAGTCTCGCAATACATCTGCTATAGTACGTTTTCGCTAGTAACTGGTTACAACCGCTCCTCACGAAATTCAAAAATACTCCTGTGAATGCTCTCATGGGTGACAAAGTGTATCGTACACGGAATCGGCGGTAAGCAACTGATACCGAAGAACAAGGTCAGATTCATTGCCATTGCAATGGGATGACGCGCGAATTTACTAACCGAAAGGTCCGTGGTTCTAACCCTTTCGGTTTCCCTTGTCTAGATTTGGGCAAGCTGGCAGGATACCAGCCCTCGTACTTCTTTCGGTGGCATGGCAGCTGGGCGCCGAAAAGGTGTTGCAGTGAACGCTCATCTTTTGGTATACAAACCAAATTGAAATCAGCTGAAATGTGTATTAATGAGATTTGCTGCAGGATGTTCTGCAACCTCCCTACATTGGTAAATACTGGCAGCTGGCCGGGTTGTGCGCTTTCTTCGCTAACCCACTGCTCTAATCGTGTTTTTCTTGCACTATTTTAGCGGCAATGGATGGAGAAACAGAATTTCCGACAATCGGCACATGGACACCTTACAGAAGCGGAAACATGGATAACCCTGATAAGGATGTTTCCGGTGAGTATTGGCTAATTCCAATTCACCTTAGTTGCCTGTCAAAACTGGTGGACTGATCAGATGTATGACAACCACTGCTAGAGGATTATCTTCATTTCTTCGACTGAATCTACATTCTCGGTGTGATCGTTCATGTCTGCTTTCTTTCCACGTACATACAGAAGTCCTGTGAACTTATCGTGGTATCGAAATCCTAGCGGATCCCGATCAAAGAGGCCCTACTTGTCGTCCCAGAAACACTCATTCTTGCTTTCGAAAAGTTAAATCGATAGGCAGACAGTGCGGTAATATGAATCCCACTCAGTTCAGAGCTTGCTCAAACTCGTTTAGGATGTGTCGTTTGCATACCTGATCGGTTTTACGCTGACTTTCCATCGTTGGTCCCGGGTTCGTGTGTGATTTCGCAACCATATTTGTCGAAGAGTGATTGTTACTTGTAGAATTCCGCAAATCGAGCAGTATTTCCAGGTCAATATTTGTTTACTGATGACGAGAAAATTTGTAGGGCATAATGCACATTGTGCGGAACAGCTAACAGCGTTGGAATTCAGGTTCTTGCTGTCGGAACTTCAGTTTCTCAGTGTAGTTTATTAAAACGGCTTAGTTGTCCAGTGACTTACAATAGGACAGTTGCGATTGTTAGCGTGGTTTAACTACCCAAACTTTCCTCTTCTGTTTGAATGAAGGTTGTCCACTCAAACTTCGAATTTGTGCTTACCAAAGGTGCCGAACCACAATTCTTACTGACAGCAATACAGCAGTAGTAAATATTGATGCCAAACTGTCGGGGACTAACATGGGTTATGATTGTTTGATGATTCCGACGCTACCGTCGTGCTAAGGTGTAGTAGTGGTGGGTGTAGTCTTATCACAACGTCGAATAATTCTACTCTTCACTGCTCGTTTATTCTTACTCGAAGTACGACGGCGTCTGTCACCTGAAGCCGGATCGTGTTATGTTTGAATATGCATGCGCGATAACGTACCGGTTAGCATCCCACAAGCGTATACTGTCCAGAAAAGCGACTTCCCTAAACTTCACAATATTAATCTATGCCTATCTGGTGTATGGTTCTGGTTGTATTGAAAGACATCGCTATTTTGAAAGTTCACTATTCTAGATCCAGGGTTTGCTTTTCGCGTTGCACATGCGGTTGAAGACCATTCAAACCCCATTTGAATTTCCTTTTCGCGCCAATTAATCTCATTAACCCTTTGAGTACCCCGACAGCGTGTTGCAAAATCAGAACAGCGGTGCGTCAATCATCAGCTTGAGTAATATGCTTTGGTCCCCTTGCACAGTTTGCACATCCAGCTAACCGGTGCTAGAATAACTGCTCAGAAAAAATATAGGCACCGAGGCCTCCCTTTCCACTTTCCAACAGAAGCAAATCTTGCAAGTTTGAACCTGGGTTCGACTGATTAGTTGGACAATGATGACACCGTGTAAATGCATTTATTTTCTGCACCGGATAAGGAGCTGTTTTCACTCCATCAGATGCGAAGGGTCTCATATCCAGCCTCGGGTGTTCTCATGGATGTAACTACCATACGGCGAAACAACAAAATGACTCATCTCATTTGAATACAGAAGAAATTCCACATTTAATTTACCCTTCCAGCAGAATCCCTTACTGAAAGCTAAACTAGCCTGTATGTCACTTTCACTTGTCTGAATCCATATCCGATGGCCAAGAGGCTGCATTGAACAGACGTTCCGGTTTCCTATTTCATTTAATCACCCCCACCAGTATCACATTTCCGTGTTCCTGTTTTGGTTTTCCACAGGTTTGGACAGTTTTTAATGGGCATTGTTAGCCTCGTGTTTGTAGTCGAAAGGTGGATATAGAATAAATGTGATAATTGTTGTCGACGAGATCTTTCTAGAGGTCTTTAATTGTGTTCTACGATTTTCCCATAGTAATGATTTCTTGGTTCGCGACAGTTTCTCCAGTCTGTTAGAGGGTTGCTTATTCCGAATGAGTTGTGATGGCAATGGTGGCGGGTCCGATTAGCTCAATCTCGGATGTTCGGCACTAGACGATTGTCCTACCAACAGTTTTCCGTGACTATTTGAATACTTGTCAGCAGATCTTTGTTTTAATCTGTTAGTATAACTATTTTCGGGGAGAAAGCTTTCAACAAAAGATCGCAGCTCAGTCTCATTTGCTCAGGTTCAAGTTGTGAAATTAATTTGGTTCCGATGGACTAGCGATGTACATCGAAGCAGTTATGGTCTCAATAGCTACGCTAATTTGCCTGCAAAATATGAACAAAGGTCATCAACCATTAGTATAAACACGGTCGAGTTCGGAGTTCCTACAGGGATTTGAGCGCTTTCTTGCCTATCGGCTTCCCTTGCCTAGGTTTGGGCAACCTGGCAGTATCCCAGCCCTTCTTTCGAGCAGCATGGCAGCTAGGCACCGGGTGTGACAGCTGAGCGATTGCTGAGCGTTATGCTTGACCGCTTCGTTGAGGTTTTAGAACCATCTGCCAAACAAAATAATTCCAAGTCAAAAATATACCTCAATTGTTCCTTCAGACCCGTTCCATCATGCACTTGTTTTCAGTGTAAGACGCAACCGATGAGTCGTAAACATGGTGTAATGGTGTGCATTGTCGGGAAGCCATATTCGTTGATCCCGCGAGCTTTAACTAGCTGAGTTTGGATACCGTACTACTTTGGCTTGACTAACTGAGTCTTGAGTACCAGGGCATAGCCTTTCCGGGTACTCAGCTTTGGTCCGAACTTGCGTGGTCGTACGTTGATTGAAGCTTCCGTGGACGTCTTACTTTCAAAGACCAGTGTTTGACCAGCACACTTATGTAGCGGCTCACTCCAGTAGTTACCCTAGTTGTGGTTGTCAAGCCTGAAGAATTGAACGAAAAACTAGGTCATACATTTCGGCTTACGATTGTGGTAGGATACTACTTTAGTAAGGTACCTTGATAGGTTGTACGACACAATAACATGTATACCATGCACTGTAGTTGGAAAGCTCACGTTTGGTGTGACAAAGACGTAGCAGACCTTCATGCATCTGGTCGAATTTTTGTATAAACTCGTAACCATGTTTGTTCATTCGGCTAAAAATATTGTTCAGTCCCCATCGGATGGCGTAGACAAGTGGCAAAGGCGCTGAGCAGACCTCATTCCCAACGTTTTTTCGGTATTAAATTCCAACGTTGCATTGCCTATTAGGTCCGCGGTCGGTAGCCGGACAACGTGCTGCTATTGGAAAGAATCGAAGTCACCCCACCTGGGGTAGCAACACCTGGCAACCTACTTACCATCGGACTAACGTTCATAATACCTCAAACTGGTCCGCATCACACGTTGACGGTGCTATAGCCATGACGCATCCAAATGGGTTGAAGTCTTCCAATATACAACCGGCTGTTGGTGGTGGTGGTGGAATGGCGGAACAACAGTCATCTGGCCCCTGGCTGCTTATCCAACCCACACCTACCGGTGGATTGGGGTCAAACTTGAACCTTCTACATAACCTCCTGTGCCACTATGGTTTGACTTACTTCCACGCTCTGAACCCAGCATCGGGGAGTGTTTTGGTACGCCTTCAGTCTCCTGAGTACGCCTTCCAAATGATGCGCGCCCTGGGTGATCGGCTTACTGTGGAGTCGATTACGGAACCGGAAAAGTTCCTCCAATTGCAGAGAGTTAGTTCATTTTTTTTTAGTTACTTTGCCCATTTGTCCATATTTCGGTCTTTGGGACCCATTGCAATAAGATAAATCCCCATATCAAAAATGAGTTTTCTGGTCCTGATCTTCTCTCTATTAAACCTATTTTGAAGGGCATATGTCCTGAGATCCAAAAGCCATCGGTATTCCGGTAGTTGATGTTTTTCAAATCCTGTACCATAGATCCTCAATTAATGACCCACTGGGATGACATTTCCGGAGTCTGTACGACAGTATTTCAGCCTTGAGTTTCTTGCGCAGAATACAGATGGGCGAGTACTTGTCAGGCGGGCCCCCCTTTTGCCGTCAGGTGATAAAAAGAGGCACAGATACAACTAAACTTCGGTAACCGATACGCCCGAGCTCTCGGTCATTTTGACCTGCCAAAGACTAGAAATCACTGTTGCTCTTGATTTGGTAACACGAATTGCATCTATGTCGCATCGATCGGGATTTGCTATCTCTCAGGAGCTTCTCATTTCATCAATACATCCATATAATGTTATCTAACCGATGTGCCATATACGATGGTTCATGCTTGGAGCGCGAATTTACTGATCGGGAAATCCGTGGTTCGAACCTGACCCCGGCTTCTCGACTCTGTAGGCTTGGACAGCCTGGCAGTATCCCAGCTCTCGCGCTTCTTTCGGGTGGCATGGCAGCTAGGCACCGAAAGTTTGTTACAGCTGGGCGATTTTTTTTATAGATCTTTAGTTAACGAGGTGCTTTCGTCACTTCCGCTTTCTAGTTCATATTTTTATGCTCTTTTCCTTCTTAGAACATGAACTCTCGGGAGAACTACGCACCTAGTCAATTCAGTCCACCTTGTGATACATCCGTTACAGCTTCCAGCTGGACACTCTGTGATCCGTCTGGCAACCCAACCTTTGTTTCTGCTGCGAACACTGCCTTTCCAACGAAGAAGCCAACGACTGCTCACAATTCATCCCGTCTAGGTGTTATGGTTTCAGGAATACACTAGCAAATTGACCTTTCATGGTGCAGATCTCACGAACGGCGCTGTATTCACGCTCCGGCTTATCTGAAAGACCATACTGTAACGTCTTCCAAACTATGCTTCTTTACTCCTCCACGTCCCCGTGAAAAACGTCTTGCTTCCGCATTTGAACAAACACCAATATCCTTTCATACGAAACTCAATGAGTGTATGACTCATTTCCCGTCCATTCTCCAACTGCTAGGTTACACTAGCATTGATGCATCTGAATTACTCACTCAGTCAATCAGCTTTTCAGACTTTGCCACAAAACTGACAATGAAGGCAAAACGCTCAATTCCTTGCTGCAACGCTGTACTGATGTGTGCTGTAGCACTAGTCAGAACGACTTGCCTTAATTGTGATCCTCTGCACAACAATTTATTATGCCTCCCACCCCGGCCCAATCATGCCATTGATACTATTGCCTTACATGCTCACTTTATATGTGCCTACGGGTAGGAGTGCTATTCGTCTCGCCACACGAATGCATCCGCCCCCACCGCTCCGACTCGTGCCATCCTCACCGTTTTTTATCGTCGTATTATCGTTCCTCCGGCTTATCTGGACGACCCCACAAATAACTATTTTACGCACCGATTGGTTTTCCGTCTTTCACCCCTTCCTAGCTTTCAAATCCATTCGCCATGTTGCTGTGTCTATCAAATGTTTCGGCGACTGTTCGCTTCTCCATGACGTATACTGTTTCCACGGTTGCATGTGTGGTGAGAGGGTGAACAGTTGTTCTGCTGCCTCATTATTTCTTCCGTCTAATCCGGCTCCTTTTTACGTTGAAATCAACTCCGTTCTTCATTACACGTTCCCTTTTCCCCTTGGAGTCCTGCTTTTCTACCCAGTCCGTTTTTTTGTCGATTCTTGCGGATTCTGTTCCTACAGCTGATGTCCATCTATCCCTTGACCCTTTCTATCAATTTTGTTCAAGCTGTGATCTCAGTGTTGGTGTTGACAAATTCCGTTCCATAACCGGTGCAATGCAAACCTTAACTATTCACTCTCCAGCATCTCATCCCACCACCTCAGAGACTGATCGCCTACCTCGCTTGCGTGTATCCGCACACTTGATAATCCGCATTACAAGTCATCTCACATAGTAGTACTGCCTCTTATCTCTTCATTTCATTCCACCAAAGCTCTGAGTCATTTTGTCCGCCCCGGCCATGTGTATGAGAAGCCGTTTTTCGACCAACCCGAGCTCACCCCGTATCGTAGACACGTGTATTCGTTCCTGCCAATCGGGTTTCAAGCCGGCACGTGATCGTACCGCATTTTCTGTCCATCGTTCCATTTTCTATCCGAAAGCGTTGTGCCAATGACAACACTCTTTAGTGTTGTTTCGAGTGTAGTGCGGTGGCCCCCTATTAATTGTGAAACTTTTGGTCCTCCAAGTCGCTCATCTTTGTTCCGTCGCCCACCGCGATGACCTACCCAAGCGTCTTTCTGTTCAGTTTTTGCTTTGTAGATTGTCAGCATCCTCCGATTTACCCATGTCCCTGTGAATGAACTTTGGCGACTGTTGCATTTCATTTTCGAATGAGGTGTCTGTGCGTGTGAGAATGATACCTGGCAGCTCTGGTTCATGCTTGCCGCAGCAGCAGTAGTAGATCTGTTGTTTACCGTTATTCGTATTCTCATTTTTGGCCAATCATTTCCACACGCCCATTTTACTCCGCTGCTTGTCCTCTATGCGCCTTGTGTACCATGATCGTACAGCCATTCCGGTGTCTGTGGGCTGGGGACCGTCGAATCAGCTCTCCGGTCACCCTACTTGATGTACTACTCCATATTCACTAGTGAACTAATAAATTAATTTCCATAATCTGACGTGCTATTTTGTAGTCGAACTATGTATTCTTATTACTACTATTATTCATACTTTTCCGTCTAGTTCTCTATCCCTACTGCCACTACTACTATTAAGATGCCTTTATTAACCACCTATGCTATTTTGCAGTATTTGTCTTCATCATAATCTGTTGATGTGCGTACGCCTGCCTACACGCGTCCATAATTGTGCACTTGTCTTTTTTTTGCAACAACTCTATTCTGACTGTGATTTTTAGTCCTGCCCATCTAGCTACCCCATCGCCTTTTTGCGCCACCCATATATCCCTGTTCCGTCAGTATTTTAGCTTCTTGTCATTCCTGAACCTAGTATTGTGAGTCCTGTGGAAATCAAGTACGTTGTATTTTCCAGGGATATTGTGGCTCATGTGATCCGGACCTTTCTTCTATGCCTGTATAACCGCGGGCGTTTTTCATATCATACACGGTGGACGTGCTTCCGAGAATAACGAACCTTGCGGCATCGTGTCTTGCCAAACTGTGCTGTCCAATTTTTGTCGCTGTCCACAAGTAAATAGCGCTCTTCCTCTCCTGGTTTCCGCATTCGGGCGTTGACGTCCATCCCTTGTCCAATCCCGTTTTTGGCTGGATATCGGCCCACTCTGCGTCCTGCCACCGATTGTTCGGTATACTCACACATATCCCCTCGAGATCAGGTTTTTGTGCTATATGCTGACTGTTGCCCATATTCTTCCATCCTACTATCTTGTTACTAGTGATTTATCCAGTTAGCTCCCTGGATGAACACGAAGCTCGTTGCGCCTATTTTCGCAACCGCTACGACCGATTCACTCGTGATTTTGTTGGCTGTTCTCATGCCTATTTCCAGTGCATGATTTCCTGGTCTCCCACGACTTTCGTCCATCAGTCATGAAGATTTCTCATTTTACGCATAATCTGTTTATTGTTTGTTTTCCTATGTTACATCTTCGCCGTTTATATTACTTCGTGTCCCCGTACCTGCGTGTTTGGTGTGTGTGTGCTTTTTCATATCTCCAGTCACGTCTCTTTGAATATGTCCACCATATTTTGACTTGGAACCCAATTTTTCCTGTTTCTTCTAACTTCACCTCGCCAACGTATCGCCTTCCCCCAAATTGGATGCTCGGTCCTCTCCTTTGGTTCCGGATGCTCCATCGGCATGTTTTCGGTCACCCAGGCCGCCACGCCGAAGCGATCGAGACTACAAACAGCAGCTTATTTTAGTTCAGCTCTTTTAGTTTGTCCTACTCTGCATTCACTGTTTCCAGACCCATCATCTTTCCTGCGCCCGAAGCATGCCGCGTACGACCTTCACAGGCCATGTCAGTCGCGCCAGCAATAAACGTTATGTTCCCAAATTGCCCCCAGCCACTTCGTAAAACTGATTATTGTACTAACTGTTTCGAAAGCTCATTTTCCCTTCGCCAGTTGTGCAGTCTCAACCGGGGTCTATTGTGTTAGAGCTGTTCTTACTGGTTCTCCATCTGAGTGAATCGTGTCCACACTTATCTTCTGTTTTCTTAGAACACAGGGAGTTGGCTTAACATCTTGCGGAGTTCGGTTACTTGACATCTGCTGCGTTCTCAGTGTTGTAAACTTGGTATGGGGCTCTGATTTCTTGATGAATTGCTGTCGTGATTAGTCATCGTACGCTTGGCACCAATGGTTTTGGTTATAACAACACTAGCATACCAGCTACCTGTGAGAGATTCCTCTCTAACAGTTGTATCAGTAGAAGGTTTATGGATTCGTGGTCGACGAATTTGCATAAGTTGTTTTTCATTTCTAAAGGGGTGTTTTTGCCGATTATCCAGAGGGGGACCGACGACTTATTTAAAGGTGCACACAACGTCAATTCCCAATCGACGGATTTTTTTAAAATTTGTACGTGGTTTGTCGGTTCTTATGTAGATGTGTCGAGGATGCGAGACCATTCATATTCCGTCTCTAGTGCTCATGTGCAAGGTACTTGGCTACACTCATCATCCCTGTTCGGTAGCTGGGTGCCGTTCTCTTTGGTTGCTGAGTACGACTGCTGAGCACTTTATCAGCTTTCGGTGGAGTTTGTGATCACTTTTCGTATCCCGGGTCGGCTTAACATTCGAGCAACTCCTAGGTCAGTGTCGGCCGGCCTCAGCATTATTCCGGGTAACCGCGCCCAGGCACTGACATGAGCTAGATCTGCCTGAATCATAATCCCAACACGGACTCTGTAGATCACGTAGAGATCGAGTTCCTTGTCTAGCCATTTTCGCCGTCGGTCGTGACAACATTCTCGGGTCCCTTTATTGGACATCCCTAGATAACCAATTCTACACGTTGGGGACACTGGTGGTGAAAAAAATGGGTATCCTATGGTCATACGGGTCATGTTTCACACTACTGGACAGTCACGGTGTTGAATACCCTGATTTTTTGCGCAACCCCGAATCCTTCGCACAATCTGGTGTTCAGCTGTATGTCGGTATTGCGTTGAATTTCCTGTTTATCGTGCCGGTTGGGTAGAATGATGGTATTTGGAGTATGCTACCCAATGGGTTATTGCACCTCATGTTGAAACTTCTTATGTAGAGAATATTTTTTAGTCTCAAACGTGTTTGTTTCCAATTTTCGGAGGCATAGGTAGTCTGTCGACTTGTTCAGCACATGGAGTTCACCCAGCATAACGGTGTCATCAACGATTTCCGGATCACCCTTTTGGGAACCCAACTGAGCACGTTTTAGTGACCAATGGACAGCAAAGTCACCATACCGGTATCGTACGCCAGTCGAAATCGGTGATCTTGCCGTATACCTGCCTTCACAGATAAGCAATAGTCTGTAGTGAGTTTCGTGTGCCTCTAAGATACAGATTCTCCACATGATGAGGCCCACCATGCGTGCATCGGAACATGGGCTATATCTGGGACGTTTGACTCATTTCAGTACTATACCAGTAAATTTTCTCGAGGCCACTGAATCACCGTATCGGCAACAACAAGCCGTTTCCACAGCGCTGGTTAACTCCAATCCGGTCAAGTATGTAATGCCTGTTGTCTCGCCCACCACCTGGAGCATTCCGTCCACGTGCAACCATCAAGTCTCTAAGTTTTGTTGACTGCTTACCGCGACTGTTCACAGAGCTCTCCCTTGTGGTGTTTATTAGATACTGGCTCGAAGTCGTTAACACCTACCACTAGTTTCACGCGGGTTTTTGTGAAGGGGCCACTGCAAATCTTGGGAGTGGTGAGTTCTATGCGACAAGCGTTGTTAAGTCAGTTGTACACGGCGATCTCACCCCCATGGTTGTCTGAGCTACCCACTGGTTCACTGTGATAGAGTTAGCAAGAGTTGTCAGGTTCAGTGATTTACAGTAGTCCTTTAGACAGTTACAATCGTAGGGGCTTCGCATGCAGGTATATTGGCTGGCAGCGCTGAGTGGCGTATGAACGTACCAGCAACTACTGGAAGGTTTCTCACCACAACCCCAGCTTGCTTTGTAGTCATTCCAGTATATGGGCTGCCGTAGGATGAACCGAATCACATCACTGACAGCATGACGTCAGTGTTAAACAATGTAGCTTTGCTGCCGTACGAGCCTTATTGTGAAGAAAGGAATAGAAGTTCACCGAAGAGGGATTTAGTGCTAGCCTCCTACAGTCCTCCAAACGCAGGTAGTTTGGATAGAAACTGAACAGGAACGCCATTGACGCAAATTAGCAGCCACATCTTGAAGCGTCCTCAACCAGTCAATACGGACCACGCGATCCCCATCCTGGAAGGTGTCTAGTACCGACAGCGCCCAAATGTTTCATAATCTCCTTCATAACTCTCTGCCAAGTCAAGAGTTGGCCACCTCTGCTTTTGCCACTCTGAATTGGGCATGGAAAACAGCACTCTCTTCGGCAAATTGCGGTTCGGCATGTGGAATACATGGCATTAGCAACGTAGCTTGTGGCGCCGCATACATTCTTCAATCGAAGTACCTGTAGCACAACAGAACACGTCTTGTAGTCGCTTCGCTATGGATTCGCTAGAGCCAACGCACATGAGCTGAGTTCCTGAGATTGGTTTTTGGAGACCCGAAAAAGTTTCAATTTCGCTGCTTGAGTATCCCTAGTCTCACGGCCAGTAGTGTAGCCTGGTTCACCCGTGCCTTGAAATTCTGGGGTGTACCCTTTCGATGCCATACGTGTCTCAAATTAGTAACAGCGACCCAAACCTAGATTTGTGCATTGACCTCATCTGTTAGGCTACAATCAGAACTAATACGATTTCCAAGATGTGTAAAGCGATCCACATCTTCGGGTGTCTGTCCCTGGATTGTAAGTGATTTGTTTATTGACAGGGTGTTCACCAGCACAACCTTGCACTTGGTGACTTGGCAGTTCATCCGAAAATACCTTGCCCTTTTCCACTTCGAAGGCCAGAACGATGTCATCTGCGTACTCCAGATCAACAAGCTTTTCGTCAGAGGCTGTTTGAACAAGATTTTCCGGTATTCGTTCCATTATCTCATCGGTCGCGAAATCACATGAGATCGAAGAGCGAGCACCACCGGGGTATACCGCTCTGTGAACGGAAGTTTGTGGGGCGCTTTTCTCATACTCCCACCTCCGGAAGTCAGAATACAAAGAATCTACTATGTTCTCAAACTTCTGTGGCGTTCCGTGATGAGTAAGGGTGTTAAGAAGAACAGACCTCTTAAGCAAGTCAAATGCACCTTGGGTTGCCAACAGTACTGAAACTATGGGTCGTTTATACGTACGACAGTGTTCTGCACCTAAAGGAGTGTAAAGTTTTGGCCATCGCAACCAGACCAGAATCCCTCTTGTTGCTCGCAAGTCGGTATTTCACAACGGAGTACAAGTGACGCCGGTAGTCACTTTACAACAGGTGAAGCTGATCCCCCTGTGGTTACCTCACTCACGACGCGCCCCTTTTATAAAATGGGCACTATCGCAGGCTCTACCCAGTTGTCTGGGACATCCTCCATTTCCCCAGTACAGGCAAATAAATCAGGCGTGCGATGATTCTGAACATCAATCCCATCTTTGAATAATGCGGCTGGGAGATCACCCGGACCAGAAGCTTGGTGGTACTTGAGAGAACATATGGTGTCATAAACTTCCGAGGCCGTAGAGGGCTCCACGCTCACCGTCTAGGGTTGTATGTCAACTATGGGCTCCAGGTTAATAGCAGATTGCTATCAAGTAAACTGTTGGAGTTATTCGGCCCATAGGTCGAAGTGTTCTTTATTGAAGTTGATCCCTGAAGATTTCACTCAGGTGTTTTTCGGTAACCGGTCAAACCGATCAATTTCAATAATATTCATTATTAGCTTTCCGTGTCCACCAGACCTCACGGTCGGTTTACACGCTTACTTTCATTTGATGTCTGACAATTCGTCGGGTCAAGTTTGACCGGGACTGGCTGGGATATTTTTCTGAGATTTGAGCAGTGCCACTTTTCTGCTAGATATCCAGTGCTTGAGTGAGCCGTGCCACAAGCGAAGCTCTCAGCACTATGTAAGGAGGTGGCAACCTCGTCCCGATATGAATTCGCATCTGGTATTGGGACATTGGGAAGAGACTCTAGGAGATGATCTTGGTAAATTCGCCCGACAACCGGATCTGCAGCGCCCACACAGTGCGCGGCCCTGGAAACGGAGGGAGAAGCGACTCTGGACAAGTTTGCGGTCGAAATCCACAAATGTGTTCCAAAACGTGTGGCGGTCAGTTATTGACAACCGCCATCGGAAAGTGAGTTCTTGTCTGGCAAATGGTTGTAAGACATCACGTGGCCAGGCAACTTTGGCTATTTTGGAGGTTAACGCTGCACAAAAACTGCCTGCAGTCAGCGCACAGCTGAAGCAATCGTTCCCCATTGTCCGTACGCGCCGAGTCCAATTCATATCGACCATTTAATTTGGTCTCAGGTGCGCTAAGCGTTCCCGTTTGTTCTTTCATATCTCCAATGATATCTGAGTTTTCACCTCTCAGAAACGCGGCATTCAGGGCGTCATTAAACCTGTCTTTGGTGGTGTCAGAGTTACATTCAGTAGGGGCGTGAGCAGTCCCTAAACAAACATCGATCAACTTTCCTCTTATGAGAATCTTTCAGAGACGTTGCCAGACGAATCGCACAGAGGCGACTGTCAACGGGTATCCAGTCAAGCGAGGATCCTTCCGCCCGATGGCATAGAGTGATGCCGAACCCTGCACATCCTGCTCACTGCGGCTTCTGGTTCGCCATTGGTGCGCAACCAGAAGCGAGTGGAGAGTGATGGAGAGGTTAGCCCAAACACTGCATTTTGAATTCTTGTTTCTGACACAACACACATCAATGCCAAGCGAGTCTAGGTTGACAGAAAGAGCACTTGAAAAGCCGATACCGGATGAACTGAGTTATCAGGCCTGACCACCGGGCCTACAAGGATAGAGTCATTAATTATATAGGGAGAGGGGGAGGAAAAAGTATGTGAAAGGGAAGCGTCAGCACTATGGATAGCACCATCCTTCTTTTGATCGAGGATGCATTTGTGTAGCCGCGTGCGACCTTACAGGTAACAAAGAACATACAGGACAATTGGTCAGCTTAGCCTGTCTCCCTTTCTGAAAGTAGTCCCGTTTTCCCAATCCACCAGAACGGGTTGGTTGTTTTGTTTTGAATCAGTACTTAGCTAGCTCTCTTAGATAGGCAAGCAATAGATCGTGAACCAGGTGAAAGCGTCAGATACCCACTTTCTCTATACTGAAAACCCGTGAATGTAAGCCTGAATAGAAATTTCTCAGCGGAATATGCGGATGACGTCGTCCTCATCTTCGAAGAGAAGGAGGAGGCACCAGTGAACTGACCGAAGTCATCGCGTCCTTGGGTATTCACTTTGCACCCACAAACTATAAGGTCATGCAGACACTGAACACGCTACTTACAATCCAGGAGGAAGCACTCGAATTTGTGGACCATTTTCATTATCATCATCGACAGCATGACATCAGTGTTCAACACCGGTGCTTCACTGCCGTATGTACGTAAAACGGTCCACAGTTTATTTGCACATACACAAATAAACTGGACCGTTGTACGTACTTTGGAAGTTGCATTAGTTCTGATTGTAATGTAACGGATGAGGTAAATGTACGAATCTGCAAGGCTCGGGTCGCGTTTGCTAATTTCAGAAACCTATGGCGTCAAACTGGTGCATCCCTGAATCTCAGGGGGTATCAAGCTGCGGTGCGGGCTGTTTTGTTGTATGCTCGTGAGGCTTGGTCTGTTCGATCAGCGGAACTGAGACATCTTCAGGTGTTTGACAGCCATTGTCTCAGAATCATAGATCGTGTGGGTTGGTGTCGGTTAATCCGTAACGAGAAAATTAGAAAACGAGTTTTGGGTCGTAAAACGCGTACTTCCATTAAAGAATGTGCCCAGCACCAGAAGCTGAATTGGTTGAGGCATGTGTTGCGCATGCCTAACTATCGTTTGCCGAAGAGAGTGCTTTTTTCATGCCTAATTTAGAGTAGCGGAAGCAGAAAGGTGGCCAACCCTTGACCTGGCAGAAGAGTATGAAGGAGATTACGAAACGCTCGGGTGCTTTCGGTACTACTCGCCTTCCAGGATGAGGACCGCGTGATCCCCACTGCGCCTGGTTGAGACACTACAAGATATAGCGACCAATCTATATCAGTGGCGTTCTTGTCAGTTTCTATCTAGAATGTCGAGGTGTGGGCACCTCCGAATGATTGTAGTAACCGGTACTAGGCCCCTTTCCCTTCCACCTTTATTCTTTTCTTGACAATAAGCCTTTCAAATAAATCATGGGTGTACGGCAGCGAAGCATCGGTGTTAAACACTGATGTCAAGCTGTTGATGATGACAATGATATTGGTTGTTTTGAAAAGCACCCAAACTTAGACGTAAGAAGCACCAGCACCTATGTCTGATTGCTGAGCCACACTATCGAAGGAAGTCGCAGCGAAGAGTAAAAAGCTACAGAAAGATGGGGATCGGGTGCATATAGTTTTAAACCTTAGAGGAAACAGACATGAGATGATTGATATTGAGAAAACATCTAACCACTCCACTGGGGTGAGACGCTATCAGGGGATTGTGCAACATATTTTTTGAAACCCACTCATCATGGACAGACTATACAGCGAAAACGCTGCAGCTAGCCGATCCGATTAGGAGGTAGCGGGTGTTCACCGTTGGGATGGGTCACGTACAAATTTCTAACTAACTGAACCCGGCCAGGAGACTGCTTCCGCTTAGTACTTCCCGCCTTCGCTCAAAGTTATGGCCCTTTTACTGCGAACCGCTTGTTCCCAAGGGTGGAAAACAAAGTGTACTATGGTGTATTTTCTAACCCCCCTTCATCGGCAATGCTCCAGCAGTTGGAATCAGTAACCAGGCCCTGTTTCACGGAACTCGCTGTGTTGCAGCGCCCTCTGCTGCCAAGATGTGTTTAATAGTTTGAAGGGTAGTCTCAAGTCTCACAACTACAAAGCACAACAGCTGTTGGTTGTTTTGTAGACACGGTATTTAGGTTTCACTAAAGTGCGTTTCTGGCGTCGAAGGCAATACCAGAACGTATGCTGCACCTGTTTTGGTTACGCGTGCACGGACTTCGTCAGTTACAACACAGTTGCTGTATGGGCGGCTGCCAGGGTACATGAATCGGTCAAATTCAACATCCTCTTGCTGATCTTTCCAAGGACTTGGGAATTCCCTGATTAGGCTGTTTATTCTTTGGGCGCGAAAAGCGCATCAAACGAGGGACCGCTTCTGATTTTCTACATGGGGAGAATTTGTATGTACCCGATCGTTAAACGCAGTAGTAATATCATCCGCATAAACCGAATTCTCTAGCGTTTCCAAAATGGGTTCATAGTTCCTTGTATCAGGCACCCCATGGGGTCATCGACGATAAAAGTGAACATAAAGGGCCTAGGAAGGATAAACCTAGTTTTGGGGAAACTTTCCGGACGTTCACTTTAAAACTTAACACAACTGGAAGCGTGAAAATAAAGCGCATTACAAATATATTCAAATTCATTGTTATCCTAATCGTATCTTCAACTGGTTGCAGCGTAGACTAATTATAAACAATGTATGATTAGAGAACTGCACAGCGACAGTTATTTGCGTTTGTCTAGTGAAGTAGGGAACACTCGGCTCTTGCAATTCTAGCTATACCACCAGTCTGCTGCATGGAATCGAGAAAGCTCAGTGGTTAAGGCACCAGCTTACGGACCGCAGGGTCCGTGATTCGAACCCAACCAAAGCGTCTTGACTGCTCCTGTCTAGGTATGGGCAACCTGGCAGTACACCAGCTCTCGTGCCTCCTTCCGTTGGCAGTGCAGCTGGGTACCGAAAGGGTGCTAAAGGTGAACGATTTTTTGCGCTGCACGAGCTGTTGAATCGCCGAAAATCTTTAATCGATGGCATACATATATTGAAGGCTTAAATACTGCGTTCGGATTTCAGAAATGCAGTAAATATATCGATGGATCATCAATGGCGCGCAGTAGGGCAGCTTTCCGGGATTTTGTAGGTTGGTGACTGGAACAATGTCCGAAAAGTACTTGCGGACTTGCGTGTTGGTTATCGATTCTTTCGGTGCAAGAAGGGCATCGATACAATCAAGTCGACGGCCAATGTGGACCAAGTCCATCCACTTGTGGGACGCATGTTCTTGTCATCTGAGATATCGCCAAGACACCCAAACTCATACAGAAAGGCTTCGTAACCTCAGCCAAAATTTAGCGCAAAGCCAGGTTTCAAGGCAATGAGACTGCAGGCGTCTTTTCTTCGGAGACTGACCTCTCGATAGTATGTATGCTAACCGTCGACCTCAAATTCATGCATATTTATCCCTCCATACTGCCTGAATGCCGCTTGCTCGTGATCTAGTTAGGACCTAACCGACCTACTTCACAACTTAGCAGGAAGTATAACATAGGGACCATGATTTAGCGAACGTGATTGTGAGCGTAGGCACGATGTGCCAGGATTACGTCGAAGAATCAGTACTTCGGTCAGTAAAAAACCACTTGCGAGGGAAACGTTGGCCTAGGATGAGTCTTTTTATTCAGACTTTGGGGAATGAGGATGCTTGTCTTTTCTCGAGCATGGCACTAGGCGACAGCAATGTTCCGTATGAATGTTAGCTTCTCTATGTCTATGCTCGTCTTCGGCTGTCAGAGAGACCACTGGATTTTCCTCACGCAAATACAAAATGACCATCGCAACCTGTACAAGTTTCGCTTCGTTCCACAGCCGCTCATTTCATCACTTCCCGAACTACACCTCTATCAACAGGCCTTTAGAAGTAATCGCCTTCCCAGTCGATATTAGCGAGGCATCCAGGAATTATGCAGGAAAAAGTTGCCCATCTCGTTCATATTCCACCAAACATATATCGCTTTAGAAATGTCCACCAGTTGGTGCCTAGTATCCAATATATCGCAACGTGTGCAGTTCTACGGAACCTATAGCAATGGCATCGGAATTAGATGCAACTCCACCGTTTCGCTCTCGGTGGGGATTCACCAAAATTTTGACTGCTGATTTGCCAGCCGCTAATTACAGTTGTGTGTTAAGCTCAGCTGCTGAGCGTCGAAATTACGCCGGTTTTCAGCTGAATTTGATTTTAAGTGGTGTAACACAGCCTTGTCTGGGCGTCTGGATTAAAGTAAAGTGGCTTGAAAGCAGCAACTAACAAAATGTCTAGTATATCAAATTCAATAAACTGTGTGTTCCAAGGTCATTTATACCTCGTGCACTTTTCAGTGTTGATCTTTTACTCTCCGTGGTAGCTTTTGACCGACCGCATTTCGGTCTGACAGATTCTTATCATAATTCTGAATTTTATCGCAAGGTTTTAGGAGACTTACTCCCTCAGACGGCTCATTGACACTCTTCGTTTGCCAGAAAATAAGGCTCTCAATCTCTCCTCACGCAAGATATAACGCTTATTATTAAGCACCTTGGAATCGACCAGGCACTCTTAAATGCAAGCCAAGAGAGCTGGGTTAGATGACAATCCAGTCATATTGCTCGCCAGATCTGTTACCCGTTTTAATACGGTTTTTCGACGAATAAGGGGTTGTTCTAAAGGGCGTAGCTCATTTCTGACAGAAACACATTAGTCGGTATTAGGGTGGCGTGGACTCGGTTTGTCCTCAGGTTCCACTGATCGGATGTCTTGGAACTACCACTGTTATATGGTCACTCAACAGTGGCGTTGCTGTGGTCTACCAAGATGTTAATCGTCATGTTTGGATGATAGGAACAATCCATAATAAATTCTGTTTGCCGAATTCGATTTCTACATTTGAGGGTTTTCCTCCTAGTTAGATCTTAATAAATGTGAGCACTGTGCTTCTTCATACAATGAACATTCTTGAAATGACCACTGGAGTCCTTAGCTCGCATCGCTTTCAGAAGTGTGTAATCAGTGCACCACGGTATTGAATCCAACCTGACCTCATGATCAGTTCCGGAGTCACTTGCTTACTCCGCCCATGCACTTATTATCTTCACTTTCCATTCACCTCTTCGCAAAGGCTGTCCCGCCCGACACTGGCACATTTGCATATGTGAATGTGACCTACGTACCCATGGGTGTTCGTTCCCCGTTTGTTGAGCCTTCCCTGATCTGCTGTGTCATGATGTCCGTATAATTGCGCCACCAATCATAATCACTAGGGTGGCTTCGGAAGCGACAGCTGCAACCCACGATCCAGCATTTTGCTCGGCGTTGTTTGGTGTGCACTGTGACTTGTTAACGCCACGAACATGGACAGTTGAGGTTTGCTGTGTATAATTTTGTTCACTATTGTATAGGTAGTACCGTAGACTTCCTAACCCGATTCCTCCTTTTGGTATTTGGAACCATCAAACCTAAGCGTGACTGAAAGTTCTGTACCTGGAACCTCAACCTGCTGGCAATTTCAAGACTTACCCTGGACCAGCCAGCAAATGGCACTGAGACCTCCCCTTATTTATATTGAGCCAGTCCTGGAAATTCGTGTGACGTCCCGGCACATCACAACCACAGCGCAGCATACTTGACCGGATAAACATTCGGTCACTGAAATGAAATAACATACAAAAAGAAGGGAAAAGGACGGTGGAAGAGTATCTACATGGGGGACACCCATAGGTGTCTGGACTGACGTGAGATTTTGACGACGAAGGTGAGTAAACCGCTCCGGTATGTGAAGCAGTCTTGGACAGGCCAAACGAGGCGTTCATCACCACCACCCGAAAATACTTGCATCAGATCTCCTTGATAGACCCCTACAAATGCACAAATGACAAAATGCACCAGTGCTTCATAACAAGCGGCCGAACTACCTTTTAATTCTGAATAAATGAAAGGAGCGATCAAGTGTAATCAGTTATCGATGGCATGTAATGTCAAACTCCATCTGTGAAAGTTCAGTAACAGGGGTTTTCAGACACGCAAAAAGTTTGAAGTATTGGTAGTCAGACAATTAGTCTAAACTTAGACGACTTTTCAGTGTTGGAGTACTACTTGCCACTGTTATTTCTTTCTGACAACATGAAACCAGCTAACCAGACGTTTGAAAAATTGCCAACCTAAACAAGGGATCCGTAAGGTGGAAGAAGGATCCGTCTGTCGAACATGAGCAATTAGAAGGATATTTATTGGGTGATCTGTAGGCCTGCTAGGAGAAGGAACTGATATACGACCAAGAAATGAGGACTCTACTGACAAGCAAGAACGTGAGACTAGCCGACTTAACACGTTGCGGTATGTGATTATCATTGAAAAGGAGTCTTCTATACAAGTGGCTTGAATCTGATGTACAAAAAAACAGACCGTCTGAAGTCCGTTTCAACTGTTCACACATTTTTTCCGATTGTATTAGGAATTACCAACCCTTTAGATACTTCCAGACTTTGCGAACGGCACCCAAGGGGAATATTCAACTGGACTGCCCTATTGTTTACCAAAGGAGATACGCAATAATCTTGAGGAAATTTTACACGTTACATGCACATCTTTTATACCTCATATGCAGGGTGAACCTACGACTTCTATTGAATGAGTTCCCAACATGGCAACCCGAAGAGGATTGCAATCATCAAGTAAAATTATTCCGCTATCGATGGCAACATTCGTCTTTTGACATTACAAAGTGAGCGTGCTGAGGTTTTGAAAAAATCCAGTGCGTTCGCATGAAAACCCATCGTCCGAACCAACTAGTTAATTTAAGCTACTGAAAAGTTTGTAGTAGGCACATTAACACGCCTCCTTTGGATCTCGCGCTAGAGCAGGTGCAAAATGTCGACAGAACAGCGTGAATTCACTTATTTTATTTACATAATTATCTTTAACAAGGAACTTCTAACACCCAATCATCCTTCTAGAGGACACAGTTTTCGTCAATCTACACATGTGTATTACAAAGTGTCACCAATAAACAAAGCAGCCATAGGGTGCAACGAGAATTGACTCACGACCCCTAAATCACAATGTTGACTGATACCTAAGATAAAACACTTTTGTCGGAACCGTGTGGATGGCAACCACTGTCCATCACCAATTATACAAACACAACTGCGAATGATTCGTAGACACGCACTTTTGACGATGGGATGGCTGAATGGTTCGTTTTTTATGTGAGGATGCGGATCCTAGAGACAAAGTCACCAAGATTGTTGTGCTGTCTGCTGTGGGACCGATCAATACCGAAAACACGAAAAGTTCCTTTATGTTTTTGCCTCAGAAGCCACGGGAAATTCCCCTTCTTTGAACTAAGGGCTGTTGGACATCGCTGCGTGCATCTGCATTGGGGAGCGTGCTTTACTCTAGGACAACCGCCTGACTGACTTGGTGGACTGGGCATAAACTCTAATTAGTGAAAAGTGGAGCCATTACCCCATGCCTGTAATTTACGCATACAAAAGTGGATCTTCTAGACCTCAGGTCACTGACAGAATACCTTTACGAGCTGACTGAAAGCTTACAACTCTACTGCAGTCGGTAAATAGCGAACTCATTGTCGGCTGCCAGAAGGGTGTGATCGATGGTCAAGCACTGGTCAGTTAGCACACCACTGATCAGCTGGCTAATCGGCTGATCAGATTTGGTCAGTCGGTTTAGTTGAAAATTGGGTTCTTCACCGAGCCCGACATTTAGATCAGAGGTTAGGTTGATGAACTACTGACCGAATGGTTCATGGTTCGAACCTCAACCTTGGGTTTTCGGTTGCTCCTTTCCAGACTTGGTCAATCCAGCATTCTCTCAGTCCATGTGTCTGTTTCGAGTTGCATGACAGGGATGCGCTGAAAGGATTCTACAGATTAATACTTGTTTTTTGTAATATTTACCTAGCTGCGATAGCACTTCACACACCTCCAATTGGAATGTAGCTTATGTTTGTTACGCTGTTGACTGGATTTGTGTTTCAAAAGCTGATTCACATCTCAATTTGGCCAATCTTCAAGATATCGGAGGAGTTTTGATTACTGAGCCGTATTACAAGTCGGTATTGGTTGATGCCTTAGAGAATGAACAAATCCGATCTCCGAGTTAAACTCATCATCATCTTTCACAAGTGTTCGCTGTCAATGAAAACTAATACATAACTATTAAGAGTTACCGTTTCAGAAGGTCTTGACAAATGACCGGCGGTTTTTAACTCGGCAACGTTTCGTTTTTGAAACAGAAGTTGGATCAGGCTGATTGAGTAGGTCGCTAATTTGGCCAGGTTTTAGGGCAGACGCGGAACCATCCAGTAAGACCTCTTCATATTAACACACTAGATCAGTGTTGAGTGTCAGCTAAGGGGCCTTGTAGGTTTGTGTGACCCCACTAATCCTACGATTAATGGGTTAGGGGAGTTTCAAATTATTTTCCATCGGATTCGGTTTTTAAATATTCCGGTTCAAAGCGCTTCAACTGATGATTCGCTTTGAGTGTTTACCGGTCTGTGTGGGCTTGTAAGTGCTACGACATTTTATTTGCGAGGGTAAGGGATGAAAGGGGGGTTAGGTTAAGCACAATTCAGATGTATGCTAATTCTGTTCACGGCTCCTCTTTTCTATAACTATACACCGTCACGTGTCAGTTCGACTAATCCAAACCGTTCTTCACACGTTTACCGCCTCTGTGATTTCTATTCTGTTAACAATAGGGTCCTTGTCTATTTATAGCCCCTCGATCATCAGTCTCTGTGGGGTGGACTATAGTCCCCGCCTCCAAACTTCAACATTTGCCAAATCTATTTTGTGTTCGGTGCATGTTTCACGATTTCTCAGTCTTTCAGTAACGCTCAATATTCATCTGAGTCCCTCGACAGCCCGTCTATTTTTCGGTGCATGTTCACGATTTCTCAGTCTTTCAGTAACGCTCAATATTCATCTGAGTCCCTCGACAGCCCGTCTATTTTTCTCCTGTGCTCCCCGATTTTGTTATGAAGTTCCCTGATCTTCTGTGCTGCAATCGCTGCTTCAAACAGCTAAATTAAATGGGTCTCGTGATGGCTAGCCACTAGCCATATACCAATGATCCCAGGCGGTGATCGGAACTACTCAGACTTAGTGACGCTGAGCGGGTTCAAGGGCGCTTGACCTGTTACGTAATGGGTTCATCAAAATAAGATTTCGATTCTACCTGTTTGTGCTCCTGAGCTATTCGGAGCCTACCGTAATTTGGTTTTCTGATACTACCAGGAGGCTCTATGCTAGAAAATTTGTTGTCATAGAAATCATGTCCATACCGGGTGCATTGTTTGAAAAAGTTTTTAGGTTGAACTAGACCAACTAATCTAGTTGAGCATGGGCAGTTTAATTTACTGCTGTCTATTTCTGAACTTAATCAGTTAGAGCACAAATTGTTTAAGGGGACTAGTGCCCACTGAATACCATTCGTCTAAGTTTTAATGTCAAAATCCATGTCAGATCGGTTCAATGCTACTATTACAGTTTAGTTTTCAGATTCATAACCATTAACCGCAAGTCTGAGTGGGGTATAAGTACAAGCCCAGGATATACGATGAGTAGGCAGAGCTACTCTGTTATGAACCCGAAAAATCAAAGAAAATATGGTCGGATCAGAGAAGTGGTCAGATTTCAAATAGGCAAAAATCCGAACACTTGCGAGCTTCGAGCTTAAGCGGGCGGTACTTTCATGGGGGTAGCAATCAAGGTGATGACTCAAAGCAGATTCTGTAAGTCCTGTGTGCTCTTATTGTCACTTACACTTAGAAAGTATCTTTATTTCATGTTCAATTAAATGACTGCTTCCGATCACGTTCTAGGTTACGTGGTTTGTCGGTGGGTAAACAGAACCAAGAAAAATGTAACATATCCGAACCTGCTGCGGCCCCAACATGACAATATTTGAACACCCAATGAAGTATGCAAAGAGTGCAGCTCGACAATGCTTGTAATCTAGTGAAAACTCCGTGATTTTGTAATAATAGACTGAGATTTCCCTTGAGGGGAGCGAGCCGTTTTTTTATCGATTGCGAAAAACAACACATGCTTTGCGAGAGATTTGTGCTGGCTCTGTGCTACTCTGGTATGCTTTTGAGACAAGATGTATTTCTTTCAGCGAGTTCCTTAAGGCGATTTATTTTCCTATCCCAACGCTGAATCTGAGACGATCAATCAGTGGTCTCACTTGTTGCTCTGTTGCCAAATCTAGGTATGAGAAGACAAGTTCGTTCTTTACATGCACTTGTACAGGTAACAGGCGATAACATAAAAAAACGACAGACAAGTAGGAGGTAGACAGTGGGTATACTTAAGACAGGCTTTTAACTGTCAACAGTGTTGAGACAGTCGATGCCAAATCACAAGGCGTCGGAAGGGGAATGACCAATGAGTGTTCTTAAAGTGTAAGGAAGCATGGCAAGCGCTATTTTTTGGGCGCTTTGCGCCCACGACCAGGTAATCGGGAGGCTACCATACTGGCTGCCCTCACGACTGTTATGACTACAACAGGGAGAAGAACACGACTTCTGGGTGAAGCGAGCCGAGTGTGAGTTGCTATTCAATGTCCACCCACTACGTGTGAGAGAAGAAAGACCGATCAGACTACCACTTCTTTTCGACTAAGTGGTAAGACTTAAAATCATTACAAACGGGCTAAAGTGGTACATTTGGGCAAAATTGAGAAAAAGGTATAAATCCGTATGTTCGTGAATGTGATACCGCATGTCGAGGCCAATTACACGAATGACGGTAAGGAGTGAGGGCGAGCGATCAAAGTTCTCTAGACAGATCGGTGGAGGTAAGCTGTGGACATGTTTTATTGGTACCACCAATAGCAATCAGAGATGAGTAAGCCGAGAGGTGACTCACTTTACATTTGCGTCCCATCTAGTGAGAAGAGCAGTCCCACCTACCTTGCTACCATAAGTTTTGTCGAATGATATGACAGAAATCGAGAAACTCAAGATTCTTGACGCTGAGATTAGTAGCTGAGCTCGTGGACTAGGCTTTGGTCTACTCTGGCACTATCGCCACGGAGACTTTCGAGTTGGATGTCAGCCGCATCTGCAGCGACCCAGTCACCCACACACTTGACTGTTCAGCCCACAGTCGCTCACTAGATCACGAGACTTGTCTCTTTTCATGCCCACAACCACGTCACATCAGACGTCGATTGTATGCACCGTCTAGTGAGCGTACCAACCATTCACGTGCTGATGCGCCCACGTACGCGCAAACGGACCTACATACAAGGAAACCGAACGCAGTCAGCACACAGTCTCGCGCGCGCGCAGGGAGCAAGGAGTCAGCCAAACACTCCAAGTCCACGGACAATTATGGAATACGTGTAGCAGTTGCTCCCATTTCGCATTACATTTATTTTTATGCGTGTTGCAACCCACCACTGTTGACCATAGTAAAAACTTTATTATTTGTAATATGGTCATCATCAACAGTGCACTAATACATTCCCAATAAACTTCACAATTTTTTGCTTTAAAGGTGCCTATTCCACCCAAAAGCCACTGAAGAATGTTGGGATGAAACTACAAATATGACGGTTGATTGTAAATGATTGCTTAGTGAAGAAGAACTCTGGACCCTCAAATAGTGGGTGAATGTTACAAGCAACCAGTTCTTAGTTGTCCTGAGAGACAATGGATTCCCCGACAAGTTTATTACAAAGCATTTGAACAGGGAAAAAGCAAACACCATCACAGCCACAGTTGGAAGGAAACCAGTTTACATTAGCCTCGCGTTTAAGGGAGATATACTGGTCGACCTACCGAACAGAAGACTTTCCGCCAGTCTGAACAAAGTTTTACCGGCCGCAACACTCCGAACCTGGTTCACCGGCAATCGTCTGTGCTCTTTTAATCTCAAGGATAGAGTGTCTGTTCACGCCCACAGTATGCTAGTATACTCACTCTCTAGCTGCTGTGTAACGGAATACATCGGACGCACGAATAAACAACTCGGCCAAAGAATGAACACAATTCACCCTGACTTGCCTCTGGAACTAGGAAGACGATAACCAGCTCCGTAGTACGACATTTAGCTGGCACTGCACGCAACGTGATACCTAGCCGAAGCTTCCGCGTTTTTTTACAAGGCGCCAGCTAATCGACCCAGATCAGTACAGCAGCGTACAATTACAGTGACTGAAGCTATCGCCATATGACATCACGACCTGATCCTTTGTCGGCTAAAACGCTTTGTTCGTGTGTTGTTCGTCAGGAAGGTCAGAATCCTAAAAATGCCTGAAACTTATTCGGGACCATCAGCTTCATAAGAAACGCTTAAGGAATAAGGCTAAAGTGCCGAGCTAAAGTCAACTATCGATGCGATGTTCGGGCAGCCAATCAATGACAACCGAAGGCACTCAAGTGCTCAGGCGGATCCTGGAGACGATGTCACTCAATCACTCAGCATCGGCCGGACAGTCTTTAATTAAAGTAAAAAATACGCCCTAAATGTCCTGACACTCCCAGTAACTTTGCAATCGTTTATTATCAATAAATCTGTTGTATTTTGTTAGGTGAGTCCTATCCTGGAGTCGGGAGTTGCAGTTAGCGAAACGTCCAGACACGAAGCGAAATAATAGAGACGAACCTCTCCCTTAGGAGACAGAAAAGCGAGTGGACGTAGTGTCTGCTTGGTGGATATTTCGGAATGAGCTATTTAACTGTGACCGCACTAACCAACATGGAAACTGAGACTCGGCAGTTTCAAAGTAGCAGTTAGCAGAAAGCAACGTAGGTATCTTCAAATGGTAACTAGTGGAACCCGTTCTGTATATACCAGGGCGTTATTATGGATCATCTGTCTATTCAAAGAAATATCGCTGTGTTGGAAGCCCGGTAGATGATAAAAAAACAACACGAGATTAACAGTGTTTACAGAATTAACTGACTGACGGACTATGTGATGATGATTGGCGATCGACTGCTTGAAAATTCAGGTCCGGACCAAAAGAGGAAATACGGATCTCTATCCTCATGCTTAGTGACTGACTCACACAAAAATGATGGTTTACCTCCCAATAAAACTGAGTGAAAAGGAAAGTACTCAACCTTCAGGATAAGATTACCATAACATCATTTTGGTTATGCTTCGGACGTTCTAGCAACAGCAGATCAAAATTCGCACACAACCGAGTGGTGTTCGTTGCAGTCGGCGGTGCACCACACTCCATTGGTACGAACAATCATACAGTCTCGTCCTTTAATGCTGGTGTCGCAACCGATATTCCTGAGATATCATTGGTCACTATCTCGTTGAAATGATTGAACATACGTGTACTTCGGTGGATAATCATAGTACATGAAATAGTTCGATTTGGCGTCAAAACGTTTTGCATTTATATAGAAACTATATTCAGTCCACGCGGAAATTTGACTCTACAAATGAAGTGTATAACTCTGGTGAAAGCCACATATGATGGCTTACGCTGTGCTCCTCATTATATATGGTGATAATCCTGGCGCCCAAAGTTGCACAGGCCTTTACCGCCGAATCGAAGCCCATTTTACGAACGTAGTGCACATAACATTGATCATCACCCTTTGTGATCTTCGATTCGAAACATTTGAGACCTAGATACAAATAATCCTTGTAGTTTCATTTCAACAAAGATTACGATATCCTCCGGTTTCTCTGATGGACTGTGGAATAAACTGTTTGATTGCCCTCGAACAGTTTGCTTGAAGATCTCGAAACTGTAAAACTGCGAGAAAAGCTATCAATGCAATATACTTTGGAGTCATGTGGACTGTCTCTGGTGAGAAAATGGAATAAGCACAATTCGGATGATTTGAAGCAGGAATCGATTGATCACGTGATCAGACCGGCACAATACAGTCAGTTCTAGCTGCGTACGAGTTCCATATAGCACAGTCTCCTCCATCAAACACAGCAGCAGCGTGAGTTTATATGAATGTATTTGAGGAGCTAACCCAATTAGTTCATGATAGTCCATGCGAGGTCGATCAGTACTTTTTTCAGTCATTGCCGCTCCATCAAAAGTAAGGAGCAATGTTTCACAGCCAGAAATACTAAACCAATTGAAACATCCAAGTTACTCATTCAGAAACACTTTAACTGTGATTTACCAAATGAATCGAGTGCAGTTCCGTTTTTCCTGTTTCAGATTGGAACAATGTATCCCGTGTGGATCAGTGCTGCAACTACTTTGCAAAACAGAGTGTACGTTCCAATTAATCAAAAAACGCTTGCAGAGGATTTGGGAATCATAGTTTAGAAAAAGTTTAAAGAACAGTTAGTGAATCTACTGATGAACATTGTTTCGTTTTTGACAGAGGAGTAACATCATGCTGTTAGCTGATCGCTAGGTCAGACGGAGAACTTGATAGTGGGATCTCTTTCTACTGACAGACTAAGTCAACGGTGAATGCTGCTAAACTTCTGTCTGCTTAGTGTGTGTGTGTGTATGTGTGTGTGTGTGTGTGCAAATACATGAATGAGGTTCGGAGTAAATGCTTCTCAGTTTATGAGTATCTGGGATCTGTGACAAACCACTCAGGAGAGTGATATGAGTCCAACCTCGGCGTCGGGACTGGACAAACTGGCAGTGACTTGTAGTGTCTACATTCCGTTGTCACATTTACCATTCCTCCTTAAACCACACTTTGTAACTGTCGTTCACATTGTATCATGACGTTTGTTTTAATGTTACGAATACACAATTTTCCGGCCCGGCGCGCTGACTTCTTGCTGAACGAGCGTATTTAAGCTCCGTTGAACTGTTTGTTGACTGCTGAACGAGTGGAACCAAATCTGTGTCTGTGTCAACTGTTGAGCGTCACAATAAATCCCTGTGACATTTTTAAGCCGTGAATAATTTCCTACCGTGGAATATATCGCGCACGCGGAACCATCTGTGGGAAACTCCGACAAGGGAATATTTCCTCTCACAGCCAGTTACTGCATTTGGATCGGTGTANTTTCCTTCAGGTGATATATATATATATATATATATCGACCGCAAATTTTCGAGCCAGCACAGACCCATAAAACTGATGCCAGTACAAAGTCACCTGTGGACTCAGTAATGGAGTAACAAACAACTCAGAATTCACATGTACCGATTCACTGAAAGGTTTTTCAGTGGATAGTTGGTAGCCTGGTGGAAAGTACCAGGTTTTGAGATGTGCCATTATTTCGCCAAACAACACTGTTGATTACCCCTGTGAATCAACGGTGAA